TCGAAGACAATCAATCGACTATTAGGATCCTTGAATCTGGCAAATCCCCTGCATTTCGTCACACGGACAAAACCCAAAGAGTAGATTTAGCTTGGTTGGCGGAACAGTTCCGTAGGAAGCACTATCAATTGGTTCATGCAGACACAGTCAGGCAATCTGCCGACATCTGCACCAAACCTTTCACGAATAGTGACAAATGGAAAAACGCCCTCAGGCTAATCAGTCATACCGATCTCAATTCAGATACATCGAAGAGTCGCGGATCGTCCCCCAGGATGGACGGACGCACAGGGGAACCTGCTGCCGCGGCACCATGCCCAACTCCCAGATGCATCATTGAAGTGTGCTGTGGGGAGGATTCAAAGCTAGGTGACGTAGGCAGATCCACTGCAGCTGGATGCCAGGTGTTCAGGTTCACCCTCAATAACGATTTCAATCAGAGTGAAAACCGAAAGATTGCTGTTGAGTTTGCGAAACAATTTCAACACATACTGATCTGGGCCAGCCTGCCTTGCACGGGGGGTACACCATGGAACTTTATCAACAATAAGATTCCCTCAGCTAGGAAGAAAGTTGCTAACCACAGGAAGTTGTTCAACACGTTGTGGAAGTCTTTTGAGGCGTTCTTGGATGAAATGGGACATTTCAACCCTTCAATCGCCATTGAATGGCCCAAGGGATGCACGTATTGGAAGCTTCCAAAGGTGAAGAGCATTCTTGACAAGCACGGACTTGACAAGTCTGACTTTGATGGATGTGCTGTGGGTATAGTGAACGCCGACGGCATCCCTCTTAAGAAGCCTTGGTCTGTTGCTACCAATGTTGGAATGTTAGGGAAAACTTTGTCTAAGTTCAAGTGTCGGTGTACTTCGCCACATGCGCAAGGTAGGGGCCAATCACTTAAGAACACCGAAAACTACACATTCAAACTTACTGATGCGATCCACGCAGCCTTTTCGATCTCAGTAGCCTCCCGAGTAATTCATTCAACTCCTGCGGTAAGGATGTCGTCCCTCGCGCCCTCCGTTGATATCCTGCTCAATGACGTGGTGGAGAAGGAGCTCGACATTCAGCGCACCATCTACAATTTGGGGGAATGGGACAAGCGGATGAAGCAGTTCCAGACGCAGGCAGCGATTGCGACTATCCCGGAACCGGACACGGTGACTCGGACTATCGCATCGCAAGAACAGGCACCGGGAGTGATGCTGGGGGGAACCCTAGCCGGGAGCAACTCAGAAATGGCTTATTGGGACTTAATCAAGTCCTAGGGCGCAACGCCCCAGCGGAATTTCGCGCTGTGCCCCTCGGAAGAGGTGGTCGACATTTTTGTCATTGGAGACTCTTCCTGCGCCATGGTCGAAGAGCCGAACGACAAATTCCCGACCAAGCACCATGTGGCGGAGCTGCTTCAGGCCGAACAGCTGAAGGGGGTCCGCAGCATCTACCACGGTATGGATTGGGGAAAAGGGCTTGACGCTATTTATAGCACCATGGAGGCCAAAGTGCGATTCATCGCCGAGGACAACTCCAAGAAGGGCATCAAACAGCTTCCCATTTCGGTTTACGTATTGTGGGGAGGAAACGATGTCTTCGGCAACTATGGGTACGTGGGGTGCAGATGGATCCATGAGAAACGGTTCAATCGTACGGAGGCGGGCCGGAAGGCCGCGTCGGAATGGCCAAAGGTTCAGAAGACCCGCGTGTTTGAGCAGCTCGACTTCTTCAAGGAGGCTGTTGGGCTCGGACGCATTCGGGACATTACTTTCATCAGTAACCCGGACGCCGAGGACTATGGCCTCACTTCCGATTACAATGAGGCCATGAACGGCTGCCTTCGACACCTTGCGGATGGGGACATCGACGATGGGACCCGCATCAAGGCGATCGACTCGATCGACCCGTCGGTCATGACATTGCTGGCTCACAGGTACGATGACGTGCATATGACGTACAGCAATGCCAACCGGAAGGTTGTGTCGAAGTTCCTTCATGCGGCAATCAACACGCAGCTGTTGGCCCAACGGATCAGGTGTGCTCTCCCGGCTATCGGGAGCGTTGAACCCTATGTGAAAGGAGAACCGGTGGATCCTGTGCTGTTTGGCTGGCCCACATGCTTGAAGCTGGCCAAAGCACTCCACGAGTATGCTGCGATGGAGGAGAAGCCCGACTGGTCCCATGACCAGGAGGGCGAGGAGATCGACGCCGACGTGGCCGCCTGGATGAAAGTGGCTGAGGACGAGTCCTACAATGCCATGACCATCGAGATGCGGGGGGCCACGGTCGACGAATCCGAGATCATTCTCGAGGCCGTCGACAAGGGAGAAGAGAACTCCGACGACGAGCTAGACCGCGTCGAGATCGCCATGTCACAATACATTGGCCACACAGCGGAACAGCACGGGTTGTCCATTGTGCCTGACGATGAGGACAAGGACAAGTGGCTCCTGCTGGGCGATGACACCCAGGATTTCGGGTGGGACCCAACCAACCTGCCCCCAGGAGTGCACCGCGCTGCGCCGGAAGGCCAGTCGATCATCATCGCGGAAGGAGACTTGTTCGACCAGGAGACGGTTGTGTCATTGGAACTGGTGTCAGAGGCAGATGAATCCGAGGCGGCAGGGATGAGTTCCATGATCACCGCGGAGTCGGTCGCTTTTGAGTCCGTGACGGAGGGCACCAGCACATCCAAGCAACCGCCAACTCCGCCGCCACCAAGGCGCGGAACTGCTGCAAAGAGCGCTGTGGGGGAACCCCAGTCGACTGGTTTCATCGAAATTGGAGACGAGTCGGACCCCACGGCTGCCGGTTCGGCCGACAAGCCCCAGGTGAAGGCGATGCCGAGGATTGCAAAGGCCAAAGCGCCGCCTGGCAACGCCGAGGGGGAACCCCGGTCGAAGAAGCAGAAGGACCCGAAGCAGGAAAAGATCTTTTGGGAGGACTGGGCCAAAACCCGGAAGATCAACACGAAGATCCCGGCCGAGGAGCAGTGCGAGTGGCTCGAGGTTGAGGATATGGGGCATGTCCCCAAGGTCAATATGGACCGCGATTACAGGCTTGTGGCTATCTCGAAAAAGATGTCGTACTTCCTCCGGGGAGGGGCATTCAAGGACGGGAAACCACACCCACCATTCCGTGGAATCGATTTGTCGGTGGAGTTCGATGCACTGGTCAGGCATTTGAACGACCGGATTGCCAATGTCATGCCTTGGGAGGTGATGATCTGCATCCGGAATAACAATACCCGGAGATTCCGCGTGATGGTTGGACCCCCTCCATTGGGGGAAGCATCCTGGAAAGGATTGCCGTATCAGGCGTTGCGGGTGAGGGCCGTGCAAGGACACCACAACGAGCTCACCAGGAAATACACCGAGCAGGCAATTCTGACGAATTTGTATTCCTTTGACGAAGAGTTCACTGCGGCAAAGTACTTGGGCGGGCAATACCCGAGAGCGGTACGGCATCCCGAGCAGACGGATCTCTGGCGCAGGGGCTTCCCTGCTGCTCTCTACCATACCTGTGACCTCAGGTCTGCCGAGCGTCTACTTCAACCCCACGCCACCCTGGGAGGCACAGATGAGGAAGCTGGCGGGAACGCGAGCCGGAAGGCCCGTCACGATTGCTTTCGATACGGAGCTCATGATGCAAGACGGCGTTCGACTCTTCACGAGCGACGAGGCGTTTATGTCTGCCGATTGGGTTGGAAATGCATACATTATTTACGCTTTCCACACCCGCAAGAATGAGTTCCTCTATTTCAATCGTGCGTACCCCGAGCTTCGCAAAAGGTACCGCGAAGCGTTGACATCCGAGCTCACGCCAGGTCCCCAGAAAGCCAATCCGAACTTCTTCAGAAGTGAAAACACCCTGACCGCAGAAAAGGCATGGAGGCATTGGCGGACTGTCGTTGAGGGGACGAAGAACGGCAAATTGCTTCCTGGTGCCGTGACTGAGATTGCCACGATCGATGAGCTCGCTCCCCGGAAGGGGAAGTCGAATGAGAGACCTGCAGGGCCGACATATCAGGTTGCGCCTGCAACCCTTCGACGGGTGCCCGAGCTCTCCAGGAAAAGAGAGGGCATGGTCGCGGCTGGAACAACCTTCGGAACCGCTACCAGAACGAGCCAAAGTGGGAAGACCTCTTTTTCACGACCATGATGAAGAACCCGGTTGTGAAGTGCTGGAATAAGAGGTGTGGCAACCATCAAATTTCATTGGTGATGTCATGTTCGAAACCTATTATCTTTTTTCCATTGATGCCGCAACATTAGCTGTGCCGAGTTTGCACGCCCGGCGGAAGCTGCGGCCGTAGGTCAATCCACGGCCGCCACCACCGGCTGTCATTTCGTTTTCGCCCAGCGGAAGCTGTGGTCGTGAGATCACCTCCGTTTGCGGCAACAAAATGAATTCAGTTTCAAGCATTCACATGAGAAATTACATGTGTATTGCCCGACGGAAGTCGTGGTCGGCCGACTCGATTGGCATGCTCCTGCAAAAGACCAAATGCATTGCAGTTGTAGCGGCCATTGATGCAACAGGCCTCATACCACCATGGCTTGCCACCTATCACACTGAGGCTCAACGTCTTCATCGTCGCGACCTCAGAGGACTTTGCTTCAGGCCTGGGGGGGAAACATGTACAAAGTACTGTTCTCACCAACGCACCTCTGCAAAGCGGGGGGTGTTGATAGGTAGTGGCATTCCGACATGATACTGGCTCAAGAAAAAATTGACTGCCGCCCGTGCTGACATTTAGGTAGATTCCACCTTTCAACAGACCCTAAAGACACGCCCATTTCCCCTTTGGCTTGCCCTTTGGCCCTTGAACCTCCTGTGTTTGCGCTTCTACACTTTGAATTTGGCAACCAACTTTTGAGGTTCGGTTTCTGAAATAGCTTGTGACCCCTTTTGGTTTGTTGAAGAGAAACCAAAAGGGGACACGCCGTTGCCGAATTTTTCGGGCTGAGGGTTCCACTCGGTTTCCTCGGTGCGTTTGCCAGGCGGACGGCAGCCCTTTCATCCCCCACGCCTCGCAGCTCAAGGCAGCGACATTTTCAGGGCGTTGTTTTTAGGGAAACATCACCATGGCCCAAGTTTTCCTTTGTTTGCCCTTTGACGCAACCAAGCAAAAGTGCCGAATCAAGCAGGACAGCCTTGTATTTACAAGTATCTGAGTAACTGACATTATTTGCAGTTTACTGTTGGTTTGGGAGGATGAGCAGCGGTGTTGTCAAATTTCAACCACGAAAGCTAGGAGAACGGCCCCCAATTTGTCCGAGTTTGGAAAGCAAACATTCACAGCAAGTCAGGAAGAACACTCTCATTTGAATATCACGGCAATGTCGACCCCTGGATAAAATCTTTTCCATGGATCAAGGGGGTTTCGCTGGACAAGTGGAGACTTCTTTCGCCCGGGGAACCCTGGTCGGTTTCGTTTGCGAGGGTTCCCGAAAAAGGGGCCATATTATTGTCATTATCCTCATCAGTATTATTATGATTGTTATCATTGTTTTTGACAGCCCCACATGTTGACGAAACCCTTTGGCTTCGCGAGCCAAGTACGCCCGCAGGCCGCAAGCTTCAGTCCCTGAGGCTAGCGCTAGTGAGATTTGGCATCAACATGTCCTCAAGGTCTTTTACTCGCAGATCCCGTATTTGTATTTTTTGGTAAGCCAATGCAGATCGCTCGTTTGCTCAGATGATTCCCCACCCCAGCCGCTGGGCATCTTTTGAACAAGATTCCTTTGCCGGGCTTAAAAGAAGGGGCGGACGCCAGGTCTTTCCCAGACGAAAGGTAGCTGATCAGTTAGCTGCAGCTGGTGCCTATACCTCGTGAAGACAAGGGGGAGGTAGAGCGTGGTGCGCGGGAGATTGGCAGCGACACTCCCCATTCATGCACGCCCTCAACTCCCAACTGAGTTGCGTGGCTAGCTCCCAACGAACAACTCGCAGTGGCACAGGAACCACTCAAATCAAAATTTTGTAGCGGGCACCAGAAACATCCAGCGCATTCCCGACCTCGCAGCCGTGGCTTAGGAAACACTCAAAAACCAAAGGTTCAGAAGTCGAGAAAAAGGATTCCCTTGACACCTTCGCTTCTTGAGTTTTTCCTTGCTTCGCAAACCCCCAAAAACCCTTATGAGGGCCGCGTGGTATATCAAAGCCTCAAGCAAGGCTTAATTGTTATGATATGAGCTTTGGTCCAAATTTCCAGTCTATGGTGCTGTTGGGACGCCCCCTTGGTGCTGTTGGGACGTTTGGTCCCTTTTTTGTTTTTTCTTCAGTTGCCCACTGAAGACTCAAAGCATCTTCCGGCAGCTGAAGGTTTGGATCGGGTGATCTGAAGGCGTCTTGGTTGAAACCATCCAACTGCTGGGCCTTTGCGCGTTTCATGTGATCAAAACCTTTTGCTTCATTTGGATCGGTATTATGTGGCAAATCGTTTTAGCTTGACTTGGTTAAGAAAATCGCTGGGTTTAGCTTTGTCTTTTTCCCCAACAGCTGAAAGCTTTGGGGTCTCAGCTCAGATAGGCTCCGGGGTGGTCCGGGGCGGCCCTGAGGTAAGGTTCCACGAGGGTTCCACCAGGGTTCCACCATGGTTCCACGAGGGTTCCACGAGGTTCTGCGAAGGCTGCGCGGGGTGGTGCGAGCACTAAAAAAAGCACCGCATGCTGGGGATATTATTTTAGCAGAACCCTCAAAATTTGGTGCTTTTCTTTTTGGTTTCCCCCCAAAAAACACCAGCAAAATCAGGTACCCTCAAAATCAGGTTTAGCTTATTCCTCTCCCGCCCTCTATTCTCCCAAAACGCCTGTGATCAGGCTCCAAGCCACCAGGCGGCTGCGGTTCCATTTTTCAGGCTAGCATTCTTAAAAAGGAAGAAAAAACCAAATAAGCTACCACGCACTTTCCGGGTCCTTTGCAGCTGTTCCCAAGAGGGAAACTGTTTGGGTGTGGCTTTTTGACGGTTTGGCGCCCAAAGTGGCTTCCTCGGTTGTCCTTTTGGTTTCCCTCTGAAATTTCTCCCCCCCAACAAATAAGAAGAATCATAATAATCAACAATAGCATAAACACCAAAAACAAATATCAAATGAAGCAACATAAATAAACAAAGCAAATAAATAACAGGTACCTCAAACCAAAAGGGCTTCGAGCCTTCTCTCTCCAGAGTCCCCGGCCAGAGAGGTGCGCTTGGAAGCCAACGACGGGGCCTGGCACGACCGCGTCCCTGCCTGGACCGGGGGGGGTGGCCTCCGCTTCACAAGCGACTCCTTTTGGGTCTGGGGAAAGCAGAAGGACAGCGTTTTTTTTTTTGGGGGGATCCGACTTTAAAAAGATAGGACCTTTTTCCACTCAGCAGGGTTGCTGATGGAGAAAGGGTCCCGGGAAGAAGCAGCAAGAAAAAAAGAAGGCCTTTTTGAGGGTCTGAGGAGGATACTTTGCTATGGATTGTCAAGGGACCCGCCCGCGTCTCCTCCAAAAGCATGCTTTTGGTTTTGGGTAGATGAAACATGGTCGCCATTATCTGAAAGTCATAGTCTTTTTAGTGTTCCGCAGATTGGGCCAAGTCATTTTGTGGGAGAAGTTGAAGGACTGCGCTGGCAGTAATTGGAGCTTGGTCACAGGGTGGTTTTGCGCAAGTGCCTTGGAGGCGCGCCAGCGCTTGCAAGGTTTGCGTAGCTACACAGAATGTGACACACAGAAAGAGTGAACACATTCACAAACACATAACCTAGTACTCGGCAGTAAATGTTCTTGAGAAGCACTGTTGCGCGCTGCTCCGTTTACTGGGTGGAATTGCGCTTGCCAAGAAGATCATAACCTTCCTTGTGCGTTCCAGTTCAGCCTTCTCTCTTGATCTTTTTTTGGGTTCCCGAGACCAGCCCGATTGGCTTTGAAGCTCAATGAGCTCAAACTCGGTTGTTTGCATACATCCCCATCCATCCTGGTGTCCACCAAAGGGCCTATCCAATCATTTGTGGTTTGCGATTGAGACCACGGCGACGGGGGCTTTGCTACAGGACCAAGCTGGCCTGGCAGGATAACAGTACCCGGCCTGCAAGGATTTTGGTGCGCGGCAAGGTTTGCATTGAAACGGGTTTGTGTTTGTTTGAGGGGGTGGTTTAAAGGGAAGCCCCAACAAAAAGCATTCGTTTCAGTCGCTTCCCTACTTTGACATATCCAAATGATCGAAATCAAGTCCCGCGAGCCACCAAGGCGGAATGCTTTGCAGTTTTCCTCTGTATGTTCGCTTGAAATTGCTTGAAATCAAGACCTGGATGGGACAGCCCCCTTGTCATGAATGGTGGGGACGTCTGCAAGTTGCCACATGTTTTCTCTTTGGCGGTTTCCGAGGACCCTGTTTCAGGAAACAAACTTGGGTGGCAAACAAGCTGTTGCGGCTAATCCACTCAAGTGAGAACTTCTCAGTGCAAGTCGCTTTCCCGTCACATTGGTTTGGATGTGGGGACCGGCCCAGGACTCGCGCAAAGCCCGGGTTTTCCTTTGTTCTTCCCTGCCAGCCATTCTAGAAGGGGTCCTTTCCTAGGATAGCACCCCTTTCACTGGAGTGTTTCCTGACAATTGTCGCCGCCTCTTCTTGGTTAGTTTTCAGAAAGGAACCCAACGAATGCCATCTTTGGGCGGGTTTGAGAGGCAAAGTAGGGACATTCAAAACTTGGCTGGCTTTCTTTCGGCCTCTTGACTTCCCTCCGCCATCGTCCCCCTTTTGGGGGGGGCTCCCGTATTCTGAGACACTCCCAGGTGTCCCCCCTGTTTGAGCTTACTTTGGGGGATGGTTCCCAAGCTAGAGACGCCCTGGCCCTTCAGACCCGATCGCTTGCGCCAAATGACAGTTGTGTGTGTGGCCGACTTCGGGAACCTTTTGTGCTCGCACCCATTTGGGCGTGTCTTGTTTTTTTGGGGTTGGGAGCTCTCGGGTCAGGTTCGAGCAAGGTTCTGGAGGTTCTGGGGTGGTCAGGTGGCAAGGTTCAAGCAAGGTTCCGGAGGTTTCGGGCGGTCTGGTGAGGTGCTGTAAGGAAGGTTGTGGAGGTTTTGGGGTGGTCTGGCGCAGGTTAGGTGATTGAAGTTCCGGAGGTTCTGGGTGGGTGCAAGGTTCAGGAAGGTTCTGCAGGTTCCGGGTGGTCGGGGGCGGTTGGTGCAGGCCAGGTGCAAGGCCCGCAAGAACGGTCTGCAACTCTGAGGTGAGGTTTCGCGGGGTTCCACGAGGGTTGCCGCACACTGTTGGGAATCTCACCTGAGCTTGTTCACCAATCCCAAGGGGGGCAGTACCAAACAACGGCGAGCCCTTCGCAACTGTCTCTCGGGCACGCCCGGCCAAGAAACCATGCTCTTCAACGGGGTCTTCTGGGAGCCTCCCGACGAGCAGCGCTTCAGCCCTTTGGCCTCCAAGCCTCGCACGAGGTTTTGCTCGGAGCTTCGGCCCCCTAAAAAAGAGTCAGCAATTTATTGGCCCAAATTTGTTTGGTCTCGATCTGCAAGTCGATATTTTTGGTGCCAAGTGCCGAGGGGCAATAGTTTCCCTTCCCAAAACCCGCGTCCATCCGTTTCGGCTGATAGATACATTGTGGCTTTTGGCTGGACATGCCAGTATCAGTTACGCTAGTTCCGAATCGATACATATCCATTCTCAAGTTCCTTTTCAAACTCATTATCTCAATTCCCCTTTGTATTCCCCTTTGTATTCCCCTTTGCGTTATCCTTGGCCTTCTGTCGAAACATCAATATCAGGCTCTCAAAGCCGCGATCTGAGCCATGCGGTGGGAGGGTGCCACTTGGTTGGACGCCTCCGCTGTCGTGGTGCCGAAAGCGCCGAAGCCGCCCACGGTGTGTGGGCTCGACGCGGTGGATGCTTTGACTTTGGCAGGACACGCGGCGGTGAGTCTCACTTAAGGGAAGCAATTTCAAAGTGATACAGTTATAGGTGTCCTTTTTGGTTCTTTTGGTGGAAAAGTAGATGGCGCTGGTTTACCTGGTGGTTTAACCATCTACCAGGGCCATCTATTTGCCCTAAAAGGACACCTATGGATACAGTCATACAGTAGTCATGGATATGGATGGCCCGGAGTGGTATCACAGAAGGGGGTGATTTTCCACAACCATGATGAATAACCCTTGGGTTGCTTATGATAGGGGGCTGTCCCATCTAGAAGGGGATCAACTGCATGGGACACCTCCCCTTAAAAACACACAAACAAACCACCGATTCGGCTCCAAACCAGAAGCCGACCTTAGGAGGCATGATTTGTTTAAACCACCATTCACAGGGAGAAGCTGACTTTGGGGTTTCCTTTAAGCACCAAACAAGCAATGCAATGCTTAACCCACTTTTAGCAGGGGATCAGAAAACGGACCGCACAGGTGTCCTTTTGATCGGTGAGTTTGGTGAGACATAAATGGGCTCCAGTGGTTCAGATGGGGTTTGCACCGTCTATGTTTTCAACCATCAGCCCAACAACCTACCAGCCCAACAGCCCACAGCAGCCCAACAGCCCAACACCCCACAGCAGCCCAACAGCCCATCAGCCCAACAACCTAGCAGCCCAACACCCCACAGCAGCCCAACAGCCCATCAGCCCAACAACCTAACAGCCCAACAGCCCACAGCAGCCCAACAGCCCGTCAGCCCAACAACCTAACAGCCCAACACCCCACAGCAGCCCAACAGCCCATCAGCCCAACAACCTAACAGCCCAACACCCCACAGCAGCCCAACAGCCCGTCAGCCCAACAACCTAACAGCCCAACACCCCACAGCAGCCCAACAGCCCGTCAGCCCAACAACCTAACAGCCCAACAGCCCACAGCATCCCAAACCTAACAGCCCAACACCCCACAGCAGCCCAACAGCCCGTCAGCCCAACAACCTAACAGCCCACAGCATCCCAACACAGCAGCCCAACAGCCCGTCAGCCCAACAACCTAAGAGCCCATCAGCCCACAGCATCCCAACAGCCCGTCAGCCCAACAACCTAAGCGCCCATCAGCCCACAGCATCCCAACAGCCCGTCAGCCCAACAAACTAAGAGCCCATCAGCCCACAGCATCCCAACAGCCCGTCAGCCCAACAACCTAACGGGCCAACACCCCACAGCAGCCCAACAGCCCGTCAGCCCAACAACCTAAGAGCCCATCAGCCCACAGCATCCCAACAGCCCGTCAGCCCAACAACCTAACGGGCCAACACCCCACAGCAGCCCAACAGCCCGTCAGCCCAACAACCCAAGCGCCCATCAGCCCACAGCATCCCAACAGCCCGTCAGCCCAACAACCTAACGGGCCAACACCCCACAGCAGCCCAACAGCCCGTCAGCCCAACAACCTAAGAGCCCATCAGCCCACAGCATCCCAACAGCCCGTCAGCCCAACAACCTAACAGCCCAACACCCCACAGCAGCCCAACAGCCCGTCAGCCCAACAACCTAACGGGCCAACACCCCACAGCAGCCCAACAGCCCGTCAGCCCAACAACCTAAGAGCCTATCAGCCCACAGCATCCCAACAGCCCGTCAGCCCAACAACCTAACGGGACACCCCACAGCAGCCCAACAGCCCGTCAGCCCAACAACCTAAGAGCCCATCGGCCCACAGCATCCCAACAGCCTGTCAGCCCAACAACCTAACGGGCCAACACCCCACAGCAGCCCAACAGCCCGTCAGCCCAACAACCTAAGAGCCCATCAGCCCACAGCATCCCAACAGCCCGTCAGCCCAACAACCTAACGGGCCAACAGCCCAGCAGCCCTGTTTTGGTGTGCAGGATATGTCCCCAAGCCTCCCGGGCTGCGAAGGGCCTTAGCTTCCTCCTTCTTCCGGGACGAAGACTTGGCGCCGCCAGGCTGCCGCGAGACGAAGACGTGGGCGTGCTTTTGTTGGAGGGGTTCGGCCTTTTCTTGGGGGGTTGGGCCAACAAAGAAGCCACAGGGAGCGCAACATGTTTGAGGGGTGCCCTTTTCAGGCGGAAACCATGAAAAAAGACCCACCTTCCACCTTCCACCCCACCTTGTTTTCCCCTGGACATTTTCCGGGGACGTCTCCTGAACATACCCCACCCCCAGCCCATGGATCCACTCCAGGCGGCCTGCCACCTCCCGGGGGCTACGGCGGCGGCAACGACTCCACCTGCGAGACCTGCGCCTGCTCCGAGGGCAAGGAGGAGGCCGAGGAGGCGGAGGCCGCCGAGGACCCAGGGGGTTGATGACTCAAGTCGAGAGCCGGGGCACTGGGCTTTAATACTATCCCAAGACCCCCCTTCAAGGAGGTTTGTTTTGGTGGGAAGGAGTGCACGACCCCCAGAAACCATCTAACCATAGGTGTCTTGGTTGGTTTGCTTAAAAAATAGAGGGCGGTTCCTGGGCTTCAATGTTGACCCAGGATCTAAGTATCCCATTATGGGGGTTCCCTCCAAAAGTGGTCTGCATCCCCGCGAAAAGAGGACACCCCCCCAATAATCAACCAGGGGTTTGTTAATCCGGGGTTAATATTAGTGAGCGCTGGTGTTCGTGCCGGACGTTTTATCAACCCTCGATTGGTGGTATGGATGGGCGATTAAGAAGATTGAACCCCTGGTTCTTGCAGAGGGTCAATGGAGAACCATCCCTAATCATCAGTTTGGGGGGCAATTTTGGTGTGGAACCCCTGCAAAAAGATAGGTTTCCATTTGGTTTCCCTTGACGTTTCCTTCAAAAGCACCAACACACCCACCTGAGGTTGGTTGTGCACCCCCATCCTTGCAGGGACGAACAACAATTGCTTGCACCGCCGAGGGCCCGAAATCCATCCCGGGCCGTTGTCTTGTTTCAACTTTTTGGTTTATGGGGGGAGCCCGTTTGAACCAGGACAGGGGCCAACATGAACACGTTCGCTTCAAATGCTGGTTTGAAGGCCAACCAGACCTGGGAGCTCTGACAGGTTGCAGAACATATTTTACATCCCGCCTACAAATACGCCAGCTTCAGAACATGTGGTTGCCAGAATCAACGTTTTTGCGTTCGCCCCGCGAATTCACCTCCGCTTACCCATCAAGGAAAACCATGGGAACTGGAGATACGAAGGGGCCCTTGAACGTGGATGCGGACGGAATGCCAATCTGAAATCCTTTCCAAGCTCCTTTAAACATTCTTTTGGTTTCCTTTCGATCTCCTTTTTTTCTGGCAGCTGTTATGCCCATATCATATCCTTTTGGTTTCCTTACAACTCCTGCATGTCGTCGAATCATGAAGAGGGCCAAGCTCACGCATTGTCTGAACATCCGAATTCGGGGAGCCTGTGCGATGCGAAGAAATACTCGTGGCTCGAAATCTGGGTTAGTTGTTGACCCCAGATTAGTAAACCCCAGTTTATGAATAGGGGGCGGGGCCCCCTCCAAAAGTGGTCTGATTCCCACATTTCACCCAGGGAGAAGCTTTAGTTTTCGCATGTGACGCCTGGAACATGTTGACCGTTGTTACCCTGGAAAGCGGATTGGATGTGGCGAATCTGTGGATTGACCCCTGCAGAATACTAAAAGAGCACCAACAGATTATGCCCAACACAACATACGAAAACAACAGCGCTTCTAGAAGACTCTCTCGATCAGCACGTCCAGGCTCATTGAGCTTGTTCCTTGGAAGGACGCCTATCGGAACATCGTGGTGCCCAACGTGCCGCACCACTCCTTCTACCCCCACCGCCGGGGCTACCGCCTGAGCTACGTCCGGATCCTGGGTCTCTTCTTCACCGGCTTGGGCTGCGGCTATGCGGCGGCAGCAAAGACACAGGAACGGTGGTGTGTGTGTGTGTGTGTGTGTGTGTGTGTGTGTGTGTGTGTGTGTGTGTGTGTGTGTGTGTGTGTGTGTGTGTCTAGGAAACGGATTGGATGCGGCTTTTGTAGATCCAGCCCTGTAGGATGTTAAAAGAGTACTAAAAGAGTACTAAAAAAGAACCAACAGGGGGAAGGACGGGTGAAATCAACAAAAAGCGCATCCAAACCGTTTTCTAGGGGAGAAACATAATATTTACCCCAGATGAATAAAAAGCCGCTGTTGATTCATATGGGGGTAGGGGGGTGTCCCTGGTTTTAGTGGAGATTGATAAACAAAGCCGCTGTTTATGAATATGGGGTAGGGGGCTGTTTCTCCGGTTTTAGTGGAGGGGAACACCCCACATATGAATGTACAGGGTTTATTAATTCGGGGTCAACACTAGTTCCTGGCCTCACTTTTTGAGTTGTTGGACTTTATGTTGTTTTTGGATTTGAACCATTTAGTTGCCAACTGGAAGCTTTTGTTTCGGGTTGCTCGGTGGTGTTTCAGGGTACATGTTGACCATGTAGAATGTCACAGAACCATCAGCTGTTTTTCTGAGTTGATCTTCTTAAACGTTGGGTGCACTCATCAAAATTTGTCGCTTGGACATGGAGGCTACTTGCCAAATTCCAATGTCTTTGGGCGGCACCTGCTGCATATTGGCAATGGCTCACATGGTTGTGGGAGATAGGTCCTTTGGGCCACTTTCGGTAACAAGGGGATCCCCAAGAAAACAACATGGTCATAAGGATGGGATTCCCGCATTGGTATCCCAGAAATTCCTACATGGAAGTTTCCTTTTTCTGAGGGTACCCCATTTTCGTGGTTTTTAAAGAGAAACCAGAAGGACCACCACCATTTTGCGGGGTCCCCCAAAAAGGACAGCCCTATATTTCCAACAGTCAGAGAGGTCGGCCTGGGTTTCCGTATGGATCCCTCTAGGAGCCTGAGCAGCAGCTCGGTGAGGGAGAAGAGGCGGTTTCTGCAGCACCTGCGCCGGCACCTGAGACCGCCTAAGACGTGCGACCCGCGGAAAAGGAATGCGCGGCAGCTATGGTGGACGAGAAAACCGCCGCAGACCTTCCAGATTTCTTGGTGGCTTTCAGCCATCCAATTCCTTAGCTTCTTAGCCTTGTAGCCTTTTGGTGTTTAGTGGTAGTTTCCATTTAACCCAAAGGAAGTTAAACCTTTGGCGGGGGATCTGAGGGCAGCCCAGGTTTGTATATACACATAAGGATACAAAAGAAATATGGTGGATCGGTACCGCGTGTTTTGGCCAAAATCTGGAATATTTCTTAAGCGCTTGATGGGGATAAGAAATGGCGGTGTCAATCCAGAGTCTTGACCGGATTTCCAATTTTTGGTTATTGAATGAAGGTGCTCCACTGTGGTCGGGTTGGCTTTGACGCTCAGGGGCCTGAGAATTGGGTGTTGGCTTTTGAGGCAGCGCCAATTCTGAGCCAGTGTGGTAAGTTGTCAAAGATGTGTTCGAGGAACCTCTGCAGGGCCCAAACCTTGCTTTACCTTGTGCTGCGCCTTTCGATGTACTACATCTAGCCGCCTATTTTAATTGAGAAACATCTACAGAACCGTCCCTCGCAAGCTCGAGAGGCTTCGAGCCGCTCCCTCGGCTCTCGACAGCCTCTGCCAACTGAGCTAAAGGGTGGTGCTATGATACAAGACTTCTTCGGATTCCTCTGCCGCCAGTGAATGGTCTCCTCCTGCCGGTGAAATGGGCGCCCCTGAATAAACAAGATGCCTTTGTTTCCAGTACCTCTCCGAGTTTTTTGTGTTTTTGGCCCAGAATATGCGCACCGAGACTCTCCCCTGGGGCCCTCCAGTTGGCGTGGGGCAGCCGATGCGCTCCAAGTTCTCCGCTCCGCTTCGAGGCTTCCAGCACGCGCGGCCCCAGAAGCCGGAGAACCTGAAGATCTACGAGGCGCACGTGGGCATGGGCTCCGTGGAGCCGAAGGTGGCCACCTACGTGGAGTTCGCCGAGCGCCTCGGGATTTGACGGGGGACGGGGGGCGGGGGGCGGGGGACGGTTTGGGGAGGAAGGTGTGGGGGAGGGGTTTGGTTGGCTTGCTTGGTTGGTTGGCTGGTTTGGTTTTGGTTTGTTTGGTTGGTTGGGGCTTTGCTTGGGGAGTTGGTTTGGGGTTGTGGGGGGAGGTTGGTTGGTTGGTTGGTTGGTTGGTTGGTTGGCTGGCTGGCTGGCTGGCTGGCTGGCTGGCTTGGCTTGGTTTGGTTTTGGTTTGTTTGGTTGGTTGGTTGGGGCGTTGCTTGGGGAGTTGGTTTGGGGTTGTGAGGGGAGGTTGGTTGGTTGGTTGGTTGGTTGGTTGGTTGGTTGGTTGGTTGGTTGGTTGGTTGGTTGGTTGGTTGGTTGGCTGGCTGGCTGGCTGGCTGGCTGGCTGGCTGGCTGGCTGGCTGGCTGGCTGGCTGGCTGGCTTGGTTTGGTTTGGTTTTGGTTTGTTTGGTTGGTTGGTTGGGGCGTTGCTTGGGGAGTTGGTTTGGGGTTGTGAGGGGAGGTTGGTTGGGGATTGGTTTGGAGGGCTTGAGGGCTTGGTTTGGTTTGGGGGTTAGAGGCTTGGGGGTTAGAGGGTTCAAGATTTTGTTTTGGGACACGAAGATGCCCGTGAGGCGGCAAGTTGCATGTCACGGAAGAGCGCGCCCAACTCTCCACAGTCCTACAGGAGCTGAATTCAACTGAAGCAATCAGCGCTGGCTGTGGGCTGGAGTATAAGTGTTAAACAGTTTTCACCACCACAGACAAGCGCCCCTTCTCACAATCTAAGGATAGCTGACGAAGGATTCTGAAATCTACCCTTTTGGTTTTGGTTTCGCGTGACAGATGCCTCCTGCAGTCTGGTCGTGTGTTTGGGGTGGAGACGTGGCTCCGAGTAACGTGTTGCCGCGGATCAAGCGCATGGGCTACAACTGCGTGCAGCTCATGGCCATTGCGGAGCATGCGCACTACGGCTGCTTCGGCTACCACGCGCCTTGGCGCTCGGCGGGGAAAATTCGCCCGCGGATCAACTTGGGCTTTTAGTTGGTTTTTTTCGTGGATTCAGTGGTTGGGGTTCCATTTGACCGACTAAGCCACCCAGTTCCTTCGGTCTTTTAGCAATTTTTGGTTGGTTTAGCGGTTGGGTTTCCATGTAACCCACAAGTTGTCGACTTTTAGCAGGGGATCTCAAGACAACCCAGATGGGAAACCCAGTTGACTAAGGGAACACGTTTATTGGGCTTGAATAAAGATGGGTTTCGAATGCTTTCACCAGGACAATCAGGTGAGCATCCAGGAACAACCCAATCAGGGTCACCCGAATCAGCGCGTGGCTGATTGGGTTGCCCCTTTAGGAGGGGATCGAGTGATTTTCTGTTGGGGGGCGGAACACCCCAACAGAGAACCGCTTGCGACACGTGGGGCCGTGGCATCGTCAAGTCAGCAGGTCAGTGGGGGGCAGGAGGACACCAAACCCCGCAATCTCCATATTCAAGTACCGGCAAGCTAACAGCTCGACCCTTTGGTGGACATCATTTAGGTTATGTTCACTTGCGGGGTTCCTTAAGAGGGTTCCTGTCCTTTGAGGAATTGTTGGGGAAATGAGGGAAAGCAAATCCCAAATTGTTGGTACAAAAAAGGGGGACCCACACATGGTGGAAACCGAGCTGGAAAAAGTACCGTAAACAAACAGAATGCCACACGAGCCCAACAAATGAGAGTAACCACCCAGTCTCAAAGAAACAAACCAAACCACCAAATCAAAACAAAACCAAACCAAACTACCAAACAACCCACTGGCGACAAACCCATGACAGCCACCATCAAACCCAGGTAGGTGAAGGTTAGTAAGGGAGACTCCACAGCCAGAATAGTTGTGGAGATCCGCCTTTGACATTTTCTTGGATTTGGGATTACAACCATCTTAATACCGATGGGTTTTCATTGTGACTTATTTGAGGCCAAGGTGATCCATTTGCCTCTCCAAAAGCCAGGATCGCCTTCCAATGATCGTGACCATGGGTGTCCTTTCTGTTTGCTTTGGTAGAAAAACAGATGGCGATTCCTGGTTTAGCTGGTGGTTGAATCATCTACCAGGGAAACCCATCTACTTGGCCCTAGAAGGACACCTATGAAGTTGTGACTCCAATGAGACCCGAGCAAAAAAACCCGCCCGCCACGCCCGCCTGCAGCGGAGGTGACCTCCTTCTTCGCCCCGGCCAGCCGCTCGGGCACCCCGGAGGAGCTGAAATACCTGGTGGACACCGCGCACGGCGCGGTTTTTTGGGGCGCGAGCCGGGGCTTTGGGTTGGGTGCCCGTCTCTGGGTTTGGGGGAGATGGCCATGGGCTTCTCAAAATCCAAAGACCGTGCCCCCAGTGAGCGGGACCCAACCGCTAAAATAGGTTCTAAAATGGGTGGTGAGTTCACCTACCCAAAATGGGATCCCATTGGTTTTGACCCACAGCCGTATCTTTTCGTACTACTCCCCTACAAATTTGCATGAGGGGCCTCTCAAAATTTTCAGGACGTTTGAGGTGAGGTGGTTTTGGCCATGTGAACCAGGAGGATAGCTTTGGCAGATGCTTTCAGTTCGGCCAACGAGGTAGGCACATTTAGCTTGAGGCAGGACCTCTGGACAGGTCAGATGGCTTGCAACAAGTGCGAGCAAGGTGGTTCATGTGCAACTATCGGATGCCACTGGAACCACACTCCCAACATCTTGGGTTTAGACTTAGGCCTTTTGCCATAATAGGTGGGGCAAGAATCGCCCTTGATTCTCTACCATTCGTTTTGGGTATTCTTTGAAGACCAGGGTTTGACTATGATTCACTTGACCTCTCTATCTGGACATCTCATTCGCCAGGCGAGTTCTAGGGGACTATGGGGACAAGGGGGCTTATCCAGGGATAGCCCCCAGGCTGCTGAGGCTGCTTGCATAGGTCCATATATGCACCCATTGCCATTCTGGACACTTTGGTGGCTGATTTCACCGTACTTAAGCCATACCTAACTGATGATTCATCCATAAATCAGGGGTTCATACCAGGGGTTCAGAAATGGACGTTTAGGGGTCCATGACTCAATTCGAACCGAAGGTGCCTTCCCAACCTGTTTCCATCAGACAATCGGATTGGAGCCTTTTGGTTTCCCGACATGGTCCCTTGTTGCACCAACATCACCCCCCCCAAGTGGTAGTTCAAGAAACGAACCACCCCAGTTTCTGGCTTGGACAACTCCACTGGACAACCAAAGGGACAGGCCAGCTGGTTTTTATTCTTTCTTGGACTCTTCGATCAACTTTTTGGGAAGGCCACTGTGGCAGTTCAAACCTTCGACGGCTTCGCCAAAGGCAGGCAGGAGGTTTGCAGAGCCACTCGAGCCAATGAACCCAAAGCCCGTGGTCTTAGCTCGAGCCAATTTCTGTGACGAGGAAGTCCCCTTTCAAGTGGCTACCCTACCTCAGATCAACATCGAATACAAAGGTGAGTCTCCCAACAGGAGATATAGTTTCGTGTAGAAATGGTACGGCTCTCAGGCTTCCTTCTTTGTTCTTTGCAGGGTCTCCCGCGGAAAGCGACTCCGATTTCCGGGGTCAAGCACCCACAGCAAATGGAATCGGCTTTCAAGTGACGACCAAAACCGGGGATGGCTCCACGAAAGTTTCGATCGGATTGGGCAACCCAAAACCTCATGGGTGGCTCGTCTTTTTTTAGGAATCCGACCCCTTTCCCTCTTGGTTTCCCTTTATGCACACCCCAAAAGAACCGGGTTCCAACTCCAAACAATGATGCACCCATAAGGATTCAACTTTGTGGTTTGATCATTTAACTTTTGCAATATCCCCCCCCCCCCCCAAAGAATTGGGTGTTTTTTCCTTCCAACCAAAAAAAGGACGGAACTAGTCCTGGCAGGTTTGGGCATCCACGTTTTGATGGACTTAGTGCACGCCCATGCCTCTTCCAACACGCTGGATGGCATCGCGCAGATGGATGGCACAGACCACTGCGCCCGGGTATTAAAAAAACACATGGAGTCGGACAAAGGATGGCGCCAGAAAGCTGGGTCTGTTTTTTTCTTCTCCTTCTTTTTTACTCTTATTATTAAAGCCGTTTTTTGGAGTGGGTTTTAAAGGGAACCCAAAAGGAAACCCATGTTTGTTGTTTTGCAGGGGGATCCCCCAAAAAAGAAACACTGAGCTGGGTGTCTCTCAAAGGGGGGCCTTTTTCAGATTGCAGGTTTCCCTTTCATTTTGCTTTGAACATCCAAGCAGCAGTTCACCATGTCGAGACACTCCCAGGTGAGCGGCAACGAACGATTCCTCAAGAGGCCAGTTTAGTTGTTCGGTTCTCCAGGGTTTTAAACGCCCAACATGGATTCTCACTGGCCGTTTTAGTAGGTGGTGCGGTTCTTACTTAGTTTCATGAGGGTAGCAACGCCTTTGTAAACCTTGTTTTTTCGACTTTGGGCGCTCAAATGAGGTCCAAGAGGATTTAAATTTGAACTTGCCAACAGAAGGCATTTATGGGAGGGTACCTGGAACATCAGTTTCCTCTTTTTTTCGGGACCCTCCGTCACGTGTCATGGCAACGTGTCATGGAAGCGCGGATGGGCTTGTGGAAGGCTGCCGCGTGAAGCTGAAGGGTCAAAAGGTTCCGCAGATCTCACCGGAAAAGAGAAGGGATGTGTGGTAAACCACGGGATTAATCAACCCCTGTTGATTTTTGGGGGGTGTCCGAATGGGTTTCGGGCCTACTTAGATCCTGGGTCAAGATTAGAGAGGTGAGGCTTCTTGCTTGGGCCTGGCAAGCTCGGCAGGTTGCGATGGCCAATCTCGCTGTGAACTGTACTCTCCGGCAAAAATATATGGCCATGGGGCATAACCTAGGGCTCCATTTTGGGTGGATGAACATCTATTTGCCACCTATTTTGATGTTCACCAGGGGTACAGGGTTTTGACCCACAGCCATATCCCGAGAAGGTTTGGGGTCCGCCAAGAGGAGGTTCTTCTTTGCAAGGAGTAAAGGGCTTGTCATGGGTGTGTCTTCTTTAGGGGACCTCAAAATGGCGGTTTTCCCTTGCGTTTCCCTTGAAAACCAGCACAAAAGGGTACCGAGCCTCAACAAATTGGGTACTCATCCAATGTCAACACGTGCTTTATCGATTCGATGAGTCGAGGCTACACCCACGGAGGACCGAGCAACTCTTTGCTTTGAGTTGGGTGGCTGGTCTTTTAGGGGTACCCTTCCTCCCACGTTGCCATGGCAGTTGTGGGGAGGTACCTGGAAGATCAATTTCCTCTTGAAGGGACTCCTGTGCCACGTTAGTGGGAGGGAGTGTAGCCCTTTTTTGGTGGTGAAAAAGGACAACTAAAAGGAACACCGTTTTGAGATTTGGGGGGGTCCCATTCCTAAAATGACGCCCATTTCACTGATTATATTTTTGACTTGCGAGAACGACCGACCCCAGTTTCCCCGAAAAGGGGAGCTTGGGTCTTAGTCTGGGGATAAACAAACAATGGAACCCTTGGTGTGGGAAGACTTCCTTTTTTAAAACTCCACTCGTAGATGGCTCTGCGTCCCCTTTCTCTCCGGCCCTGCTTGTATGGCTTCTGCATTAAACACCCTAAACAGCTCTTTTTTGTTTTGCAGCTGTAATACTGCAAGGGGCACTTGATGCCTCGAAAATGAGGAACCGGGGAAACTGGCATTTGGGACCATGTGTGAAACCCACTAAAGCGGGTGATTTTCGTTTGGTTTCCCTTTGACACCAACCCCCAAAAGCGGTCCATCAAAACACCACATGAGCAGTTGCCTAAACAATCCTTGTATGTTTGCATGCTGCCGAACATCCCTACTTGGCGGCCATTCGTTGGTTCTTTTATTGTTCTTGCATTCCCTAAGACCTTGGTGGTCAGTGTCATAGTCATTGCTCCCCTACAAACTAATCCGGAGACCCTAAACCGGCTCTAATAAGCGGATTCCAGCTTGCACCAAAGGACAATCATGTATGCAGCATCCTAGGACTGATTTAGGGTCAACCATGGAATCCCCCTAAAACGGGCATCCCCAACAACTCATCTGCGCATAGCCGTTTTTCGGGTTCAATGTGAGGTGTGTGCAAGCCCAGCGAAAGACACAAGGGATGGTATTCTCCGGCCGCTGCGCATGAGGTTGGGTTCAGTGGTGAGGCCTCAGCCTTCGGGTGCACTTCCCATTCCTATTGGGAACTTTCAGTAGGTGCATAAGGGCAACACAACTTTGACCATGTCGGCACTTCCCGTGTGAGACACTGACAGTATCCTTGGAAGTCTACCGTTGGTTTGGGAGAAAGCCACAAAAACACCACAAAAACCAGGGCGAACGGTGCCTCAAGTTTCAAAATGGCATTTGAGGACTACGTACGTCTTTGGCGGAAGTGGTATCAAAGTAGGGCAACACTTGTTTAAACAACCATCTGATACCCTTCAAAGGCCAACTAAAAGGCGGATGTTTCACCAAAGTTTTTTTTGAACACATGTTTTTAACTATGGCAACTATAGTCAACAAGCTTCTATGCTTAAACACCAAGTTGGTTTTTGTCACCATATGGGTCTGTTTTTCTCCGCCTTCTTTTCTGCTTTTTATACCTGTTTTTGCCATGGACCCAGTTGCCACCCTTTATTTGTTATGGGTACCCCCCTCTTTTGACTAGCGTACCAATTTTTTTTATTGGTGCCCCATATTTTGACACAGCCATTCCCATGTAGAAGTGTCCTTTCTTTAGGAATTCCTTTTTGGTTGTTTTTTGGTAGAAAGTAGCGATTCCTGGTTGACCTGGTGGTTTCATAGTCTATCAGGGCCATCGATTTTCCCAAAAGTGATACCTACGCACCGAATGCCCCAAACCGTTTCGCCTCCGATCGTCAGGACCCAAGGGTCATCACAGTCAGTGGGACTCGCCTTTTGGATGCAAGCGGGGGGGCCGTTGGGCCATTGGCTGGCTCGTCTTTTCGTGGGAACCCGGTTCCTTTTAGAAGTTGTCAGTTGGTTTGGTGGTAGTTTCCGCTCCAATCCACTAAAAGTTCAACATTTAGGGGGATTTGGGAACAGTCCGGGTCTTTTGGAGTTGGTACTTCCGTTTTTTTCGGGGTGGGCTGTACTTGGATGTTGCCAAGTTCGTGCTTAACCTGGATTACAACCCACTGACAGGGGTAGCTCCACTGAACGGGAGGCCTTGTCAGGGAGTAACCCAGGTTGCCAAGAACTTACCAAGTCAGCTGAACTGTCCCTTGCTTGGTTTTAAAGGGACACCTGAAGGACCGCCGAAATCCCATGGTTTGGGTTTTTCTCCTTCAGCTGAAAGCTCATCTGGGCCTGGGCATCCAACAGAGTCATTTGGGCACATGGGGATGTCTTTTTTGAGGACACCCCATATTTTGTGGCTTAAAGAGAAGCCAAAAAAGAGACACCCATATCCTCTGTCCCTTTCAAAGATTCCTTCACATCCGCCAGACTTTTGACCAAATCAAGTTCCCAGCCAAGTTGGCCCCGGGGATGAGGGTCTCGTCTCTGCCCTCAGGCAGCCCGAGGAGTGTTTTTGCTGATCCAGTCACCACCGTATCAGGCAATCTGGGCGAAAGCTTGTCCCAGCACAAAAGGCGAAGAATGGTTGCATAGCTGTCGAAGGAACATGATTTCGGGCAACGCAGCGCAGTGGGCGGGCGCAGGCTCATTATCATACATATTGTCAACTCAATTTTCATTTAAAATACTTGCAAATGATACATGTGTATCATTCTAGTATAAGTATCACACATACATCCAGTTTACATTCCAAACACCAATCATTTTGTTGGGTATTACTACGGGGACGACATATTTCACACAAAACATCGATCGTGCGAATTGGTTCTAAGTTGTGCGTAGAAATTCTGTGTCTTTATCGGTAATACTGAAGTTAACAACTAACTCACGTGGCGTTTGACATTGAAAAGCATTTATACGTCTGCTTTCTCTCTTGCCGAAGGTGCACATTGTTTACATGGAAACTATCGTGAACTTCACAAAATCCGGAGGAACACACGACCTTGTCAGATCTGATTCCTCTTATTCGGATTGATCTGAAGTTCATGTGTTGCCAAGGAAAATCTTCAACTACCTGAAGTACGAGGCCGGAAGAAGCGAAACGTTCCTGTTGCAACCACCCCTTTCCCACCTCTCCCCGCATCCTCCCAAAAAGTATTGTATGTTTGCGAAGGGCGAATTTTCCTGGCGATTGGGGCCGATTGCCCAATCGGGGCGAAAAGGCGAAGGCCTTTGGGCGGCTTTCTGGGGATTTCTGGGGATTCGCCTGGCCCACCTGGCTGATCAAAAAGTTTAGGGATCTTTGTATTTCTTACTTTTTCAGAACAAAAATCCGCTTCCCAGAAGGAGTTCCTCGAATGGGTGGGTGTGTGGGGTTCAGGGAGCTGGGAATTCAGACCTCTGTGCCAGGTGCTGCGTTTCCTGCTCTCCAACATCAAGTGGTGGCTGGAGGCCGGCGGCGTGCTTCTGTTGCGCTTTTTCCCCCCCCCCCCCCCGGTTTCCCCAGAAAAATCTATGGGGGGGAGCATCTTCTTCTTTTTTTTGCCCCACCCCTCGCTTTGCCCAGCTGAAATCTATGGGGTCGTGAGGGCCAAAGATACAAGCACAAAACGGGTGGTCAGCAGCTTTCAAGGAGGGTTCAAGGAGATTGGTTGCTGTTGGGATACCACCCCGACAAAAAAGGGGACGCCCCCAACCTAGCTGGTGATGGGGTTGGACACATGTCTTCCCCGACAGCTGAAAGCTGTGGGGACTCTGCCCAGATTCGGCTCTGGAGTGGTTCTGGGCAGCTTTCAGGGAAGTTTCCGGGGGATCCACCGCAAAGTCGGTCAATATGGGAAGGACGTGCTGAATTTCAGCCAAATCGCGGGGGTCTGTCGCCCATCTGGCCGAGGGTTTCCCGCTGAAAGCCACCAGGCGCAACCAGCGCCAAGCCGGCTTCCATGCGGCTTCCCTTGGGGCAACCCCAGAAAAAAAAAGAAGAAGAACAAAAACCCATGGACCCCCAGAAAAAAAGAAAAGAAAAAAACAACCCAGGAAAAAAAAACAGAAAAACAACCCTTGGGGCAACACCAAAAGCGACCCCCCATGGACGGCTTCGCCAGGAGTATCAGTTCGACGGCTTCCGCTTCGACGGGATTACCTCCATGCTGTACCACTCCCACGGCCGCTTCGGAGGAAATTTTTCTTGAGAGAGGTCTTGGGGGATGAGTCTGTTCCCAGTCAGAATTCTAGACACTTCGGCTTTTGGACATTTAGACATTTAGACTTTTAGAGGGATGCGTGACATATCTGACTCAAAGTGTTGCTTTTGGGATCAAAGCAAACGCTTGCAAGATTGCCGCTGCGGAGACTCGCGGGTGGGGACGGAAACAGGACACAAGGCACACATTGGACTGGATAGAAATGGGAGAGAAGGAAGAAGACAGGAACATAATGAAAAAGACGGGACAGAGACGCCACACAAGCGGAGCTGTCTGTGGTGTTTGTCTCGTTTCCGGCCCGTTTCTGCCTCATGTCCGTTCTGTGCATCTCGATTTTCGTCTTGTTTCTATCATGATTTAGTTCAATTTATGTACCCGCCTCCCGTCCTGCTTTTTGCCAGTGTTTGCCTGATTTGGCTGTGTCGACAGTTTGCAGAGGGATTGGAAGATGGAGCAAGGTTTTAGGAGTAAAGCTGAAGATGTTTGAATCCATATCCAGTTTTCGCGTGCAGACAACTTCTGCGCTTTCATTTTTTGTGTTTTTCTTCTCTGAAGATCGTTACCAGACGCATCAATGGATGTTTCCTATTGCTGAGAATAACTTCAAGATGTGTATAGGAAGGTTCTTGCTCAAGAATGGGGCAACACAAGGCATACACTTGCATCGCGGAAGCCAAACTACTTCTGCTTCGACGGGTGCTACACGGGTGTGACTTTTGAAGGGGACCCGCGAAATTGCGGTTCAAGCTTCGCTCATGGCTTCGAAGGCAGTCTTCTGAACTGGAGCAAAGCACTAGAATGACATGGAACACCAAAACGGATCCCCCAAAGACCGCACGGTGATTTCTCTAAAAGCGGAGTTGTGTTTAGTTCCATGTGGGTATGTGCTAGAAGGTCTCCAGAATGGCGGCTTCCCTTTGAGGTGTTTTGTTGAACCAACCTTTCCAAGGGTAACGTCAAAGACACACACACACACACACATGTAAATCTGCAACCGTGAGAATAGCTGAGGTATCGGCAAGGGCTACACCGGTGGCTACCACGAATACTTCGGCCCAGATGCTGATATTGACACCCACATCTACCTCATGCTGGCCAACGACCTCATTCACTCGCTGGTGCCTGGTTACATATACACACATCATTTGCTAGAGGAATAAAATGTTCTTGCTTTCATTGCAAGTTGCAGAAGTATTACTTAGAGGAACACACCTTGTACCCTTTGCAAGTTGCAAGTTGTTTTGGAGCGACCAAGCCAGTGAGTGTAAACTGCATGACTCGAGTTCGACAGTGTCTCACTGATCAATTCGAATTCACTTGCCAGAAAACCACAGAAACCACCAAGGGAGGGGGGACGTCGGGTTTTATGTGAAAAGACCGATGGTTGAGACGAAGAGGCAACCTAAAGCCCCCCAGAAAGGGGGTACCAGCCACCCATGTCGCCCAAACAACCGGCACACCTGTTCCATGACTCCCTGGCCATCCAAACCAAACCAAGGTCTCCCATGGGATCAAAATGGGGGGATCCCCCCCCCCAACAAAAGTGGCTTCGGTTTCCCTGAAGAAGCCCCCAAAAAGGGTACCAAGTCTCATTGGAACCCCCATAAAACCGCGCCTCATGTCCCAGGTGCCGAGCGCTCTGTCGGTGGCGGAGGACGTGAGCGGCATGCCCACTATCGGCCTGCCCGTGGAGTACGGCGGCTTCTTGGAAGCCATACGAGGGAGCTGAGCCGGAGTTGGCTGGGGAACTCATTTTGATCCCGGAAAGCTGCTAGCGGTTTGCGAGCTGTGGTATTTTAGGTGGCCAATTCTATAAAAGAAAATGGATGATAAACTCGTGGGAAAAGGGTATTTCCCATGACGGCTGCAAGAAAAACCCGAGTACATGATGATGAATATCGGACAGTCCAACCATAAATCAGTGCAAATGTGGGCCCTTTTGGTTCTTCAAATAGTGTTGGGTAGACAACTTTACCAGGCTTTCATTGTGAACATTGTGCGGGCAAGTTGTCGATTTCTAGCCAAAAGTAAGACGTCGATAGTAGTGGCAGAAGTAGCAGTAATATCAGTAGCAGCAGCAGTAGTAGTAGTAGTAGTAGTAGTAGTAGTAGTAGTAGTAGTCGTAGTAGTAGTAGTAGTAGTAGTAGTAGTAGTAGTAGTAGTAGTAGTAGTAGTAGTAGTAGTAGTAGTAGTAGTAGTAGTAGTAGTAAGTAGTAAGTAGTAGTAGTAAGTAGTAAGTAGTAAGTAGTAAGTAGTAAGTAGTAAGTAGTAAGTAGTAAGTAGTAAGTAGTAAGTAGTAAGTAGTAAGTAGTAGTACTGGTGATAGTAGTGGTGTAGTAGTGGTAGTAGTAGTAGTAGTAGTAGTAGTAGTAGTAGTAGTAGTAGTAGTAGTAGTAGTAGTAGTAGTAGTAGTAGTAGTAGTAGTAGTAGTGGTGATAGTAGTAGTAGCAGTAGTAGTAGCAGTAGTAGTAGTAGTAGTAGCAGCAGTAGTAGTCAGTAGTCAGTAGTCAGTAGTCAGTAGTCAGTAAGTAGTCAGTAGTCAGTAGTCAGTACAGTAGTCAGTAGTCAGTAGTCAGTAGTCAGTAGTCAGTAGTCAGTAGTCAGTAGTCAGTAGTCAGTAGTCAGTAGTCAGTAGTCAGTAGCCAGTAGCCAGTAGTCAGTAGTCAGGAGTCAGTAGTCAGGAGTCAGTAGTCAGTAGTCAGTAGTCAGTAGTCACAGCAGTCAGGAGTCAGTAGTCAGTAGTCAGCAGTCAGCAGTCAGCAGTCAGCAGTCAGCAGTCAGCAGGCAGCAGTCAGCAGTCAGCAGTCAGCAGTCAGCAGTCAGCAGTCAGCAGTCAGCAGTCAGCAGTCAGCAGTCAGCAGTCAGCAGTCAGCAGTCAGCAGTCAGCAGTCAGCAGTCAGTAGTCAGTAGTCAATAGTCAGTAGTCGGTAGTCGGTAGTCGGTAGTCGGTAGTCGGTAGTGGGTAGTCGGCAGTCGGGAGTCGGGAGTCGGCAGTCGGCAGTCGGTAGTCGGTAGTCGGTAGTCGGTAGTCAGGAGTCGGTAGTCCGGCGTCGGCAGTCGGCAGTCAGCAGTCAGCAGTCAGCAGTCAGCAGTCAGCAGTCAGCAGTCAGCAGTCAGCAGTCAGCAGTCAGCAGTCAGGAGTCAGCAGTCAGCAGTCAGCAGTCAGCAGCCAGCAGTCAGCAGTCAACAGTCAGGAGTCAGGAGTCAGTCAGCAGTCAGCAGTCAGCAGTCAGCAGTCAGCAGTCAGCAGTCAGCAGTCAGCAGTCATGAGTCAGCAGTCAGCAGTCAGCAGTCAGCAGTCAGCAGTCAGCGCTCAGTAGGCAGTAGGCAGTAGGCAGTAGTCAGCAGTCAGTAGTCAGTAGTCAGTAGTCAGTAGTCAGGAGTCAGTAGTCAGTAGTCAGTAGTCAGTAGTCAGTAGTCAGTAGTCAGTAGTCAGTAGTCAGTAGACAGTAGTCAGTACTCAGTACTCAGTAGTCAGTAGTCAGTAGTCAGTAGTCAGTAGTCAGTAGTAGTAGTAGTAGTAGTAGTAGTAGTAGTAGTAGTAGTAGTAGTAGTAGTAGTAGCAGTAGCAGTAGTAGTAGTAAACGTTGTGGTCGTTGTCGTCGTAGTAGTAGTAGCAATTGTAGCAGTTGATATAGCCCTTTTTTAACCTTACATTGGGGGCCGGGGGAGGGGGGATAGGGGGGGCGGTAATGCTTTTCGGCCTTTTGGGAGGTCATTGTTTTTTTTGGTTTGGTTGAAATTGAAATCATCGTTTCGATGGAGCTGGTCGACACGGTTGTTTCAGAATCTACAAGAAGAATCCATCCATCTTGAGTTGCTGGTTGTTCTGGGGGTTGGAGACTGGTTGCCTTTCGGCTTGACTCGTATGACAAACACATGGCCAGGTTTCAGAAGGGATCGGATCCAGTGGGAAAAACTGATACAATGTCTGCGCCTATGGTCCATGCTTGTGCTTGATGGCCAGCTGGTGCTTGGGAACCGGTTCAGACATGAGTTTGAGGGTTGGGACGGGAGATGTTGGTGGCCAGTGGTGGCGAAAGCTTTGATTTTGCGGGCGTCATATATAGAAAGAGCTCATTTTCGAGGGAACCGCTTTTGGGGTTGTTGAAAGGCCAACCAAGAGGAACGTCATGAACAACCTTTCACGTGGGGGTTGTTTTGGATTAGGCCATGGAGCACTTCAGAGGGAAGTTTTGACAACCATGAGAAGGAATCCTGTTGAGGGAGGCATGCTCGCATGGCCCGCATGAGTTTACAGAACACATACCCAATCAGATCGCCTGATTCGATCTCAGCGTTTGCACCAGCAGCCCGACTTACCCAGACCATTGCCACACTTACTCCCCTACAGATTCCCATGGAACCCATAAGAGAGGTGCGATTCCCAGAAGGAGTTTCCTCTACAATCCTTTGTTTGGGAGGAAACCCATGTTAACCAGGGATTCCCTGACCATCGGCGCTGCCAAGTTGTCGCTCGGATTATGTGGCCTGCGGGGCTCTGGCTTTGATCGTAGATTTCACAGCCGAGGTACGGGGAATGACCCAAATTTCGGCCGGCCACATTTGGATGTCTCTCAAAATCGACCAAGTCCTTCAGGTGGCCGGTTTCTTTTTGCTTTGGCCTTCCCTGCAAGCGATGCCTTGGAGAAGCAAAACGACCTACAGACCCACTTGATGCCTTCACCATGACTCTTTTCAAATCAGCCGGTTCAGTTTGTTTTTTGGCTGGAATTTTGGATCTGGACGCGGATGGAAGCTACCCCGGACTACCCAGGACATGGGAGAGACACCCCATTTTTCCGCCAAACAACATGGGGACTCACTCATGTTCACTCACGTTCAGGGAACCGCATCTTTAAACATGTGGCTCAAATGCTTGTTCCATTTTGACTGGTCAATGCTTGTTGAACCCGTGGTGTTCTACCAGCTCTGTGTTTGCAACTGGGTGTGCATCATGCAGTGTTTGCTGGCTCCAAGCTTTTGGCTTCACAGGATTCCAGGTAGCACGCCTTTGCTCAACACACCTGGCGTACGTCTTCTGTATGGCCGCCACCACATGGGGATTTCTGAACATAAGCAGGGGGCCATAAATGTCAATCCGCTTTTACTTTTGGCCAACACGCGGGTGGTTCCTATGAAGAACTTCTTTCGGTTTCCTTTTAAGTTGCATCAAGGTTTCGTGTGGTGTCTCAAGATTTCCCTTCGGCTTCCCCTACAGTGGATGGACAAAATCCATTTCACACCACCTTTCAGAAACGCTGGAATGGTCTGATTCCCAAACATATATACCAACAAACGTTATGTTTCAACCATGGTTTCATTTTGTGGTGCGAAATGGATTTCGTCCTTCCACGGTATCACCTATGGTATTCCAAAGAAGGTTCCAGTCCTGAATTGGGGAACTGATCACTTCTAGGGGTGGATTCTCCCTTTGAATCATTTTGGCCAGCTAGTTTCGTGGTGTTTTTTGCACTGAAGTTGTCCAACCATTTTGAACACACCGCCTCGGCTTCCCGGAGCCTCGGCAAGCGGCAAGCCCCGAGGTTTCGGCTTCGACTACCGCCGGGGGCCCCTGGATCGCGGAATCGGACTACCGCCATGAGTAGGGCAAAAGAAACGGACTTGGACCCTGGACATCGGCGTTGTCTTTTTCAGGGGTACCTCTTGTTTGGAGGTTTCGAAGGAAGACCAAGTTTTTGGGGGTCCAGTCCGATTCCCAACAAACGGACGAGCCAACCAAATGGTGAGACCGCCCCCTCATTGCCGGGTTTTGATTGTGACTCAACTCCCCTGTTCCGGATGGTTCCCACGACTCCCCAAAACGCACGCCAGGTCATAGGAGTTTAAGCAGAATGCAACCACTGGCCACTAGATCGAACGGGCATATACTCCGAAGGCTAGTAAGTTTGGGTCAATTTACCAGCGACTCCTCCTGGCGTAAGCGCGGATTTGGATCTTGCGCGGTTCGACATCGATGAGTTTTTCTCTGGAGGTCTGGGCATGGCCATCCCGGACATGTTCATCAAGCTGTTGAAGGACGAGACGAATCGACAAATAGTTTGGCGGGTCGAGTGAGTCGCCTCGTTGGGCGAAGCGCGGGGGTCGAGGCTTGATGATTTGTTGTCTTCTTGGAGTGGGTTTTGGAGTGGTTGTGCTTTTTGGAGTGGTTTTTCTTTCTGGGGTGGTTTTGGAAGGGCTTTTCTTTTTGGGGTGGTTTTGGAGTGGTTTTTAGAGGGCGCCGTTTTGAGGTTCTATTTGGAGACAACCCCAAGACCGCTTCAGCCCCGGTAGACTGATTTGTCTGAGCGCAGGAAGTCGGAGACGAGGGTTGGGACGTGGGCCACATTTGCTACACGCTCCCCGGCAGAAACGTTCGAATTTGCTCCGAGAGAGAAAGGACGGCAACCTTCCATTTGCTTAAGTCAACAATAGGTTTTGAATTTCCCCTGTTGGTTTTTAAGGGAGTCTGTCACTACTGGACATATTCTTTTTCAGGAGACTTGCGCAAATGGAAGCTTGGTGGTTTTGACTGGAGGTGGGATTTGAACCCCCTGGTTCTTGTAGACGGTAAATGGGAAGCTACCAACTAGCCTCCAAATCGGCAAACCACAAATCCAAACCACCAATGGCCGGGAAGTGACATGCGAGTCAGAACTCCCCCCCATCAGCGCAGCCATTTCTGGAGAGATATTTGGCTTCAAATCAGTTCCCGCAAATAAGTCCAGGCCGTTGATGGAAATGGATCTCCATTTCCATGCTAGTTAGTGAGTGAGTGAGTGAGTGAGTGAGTGAGTGAGTGAGTGAGTGAGTGAGTGAGTGAGTGAGTGAGTGAGTTAGTTAGGTAGGTAGTTTGTTTGTTTGTTTGTTTGTTTGCTTGTTTGCTTATTTGCTTACTTGCTTGCTTGCTTGTTTGGTTGTTTGTTTGTTTTGTTGTTTGGTTGTTTGGTTGTTTGGTTGTTTGTGGTGGTTTCTTTTCTTGTGGCACACATTTTGTGTAAGGAGAGACACAACTGGGCTAAGCTAACCCGCACGGTTCTTTCCTCGCCCCCTCTCCGACTCCGACTCGAGGCTGACCAATCGTCGTCACTTGGAGAAGGCCGAGTCTGGGGTCTGGGTTTGGAGTGGGGAGTGACTAAGTTGGAAGCCAGCAGACGTGGTGGTTCCCAGCCATGTGTTTTTAGGTTTTGATATTCTTTAGTTGGTTTAGTGAGGTAGGCTCGACTAAACCACTGAAAGTTAGTTCCTTTCGCATGGATCTGGGAGCAGCCCAGCAGACAATACAAAAAATGATTGGTGGTTCTCACATCTAGTGGGGAATCATCTCATGGGTGGATCCACCTGATTTCATCATGATGGATCATGAATGATTGTGGCAAAGAAAGAGGGTCATCTTCCATGAACACCTGCAAGGTGGTGGCCTATGCAGAGTCCCACGATCAGGCGATTGCAGCTCGGTTGCAGGAGACATTTTGCTTTGCGCTGACCGGTATGCGCGTGTAATTTTTCGAGGGTTTTCTTTCCACGTTGGTTCAAAGGGGAGCCAAAAGGAACCTCGCCATTTCGACGTCACACTATTTTGTCTGCAACTCACATGCGGGCACTTGTTCTCAGTCAGCTAGGCCTAGGTTTTCCGGCATCTTCTGTTGGGGAGCCCGCTTTTTGGCTGCCTTGAAGGGAAAGCCAAGGGGAGGGGAACGCCGAAGCCCATGTTAGGGTTCCAACCCCATTTTCAGACCGGGGTCGCCCACCAGATACCCTACAAAGCCCGCTTTCCGGCTGCATTAAAGGGAAATTAAGGGGAACACCGAAGCCCATCATTTTTGGGTTCCCAACCCCATTTTTAGATACCCTACAAAACCCGCATGATACCCTACAAAACCCGCTGTTTGGCTGCTTTAACGGGAAAGCCAGGGAAACCCAAAAAAACCAATGCGATTTTGTTGGGTTCCCAACCCAATTTTTCCGACTGCATGGACAGCTCCCGAGGTGGGAGACAAGACCTTGGCCTTCTGGCTCATGGACGCCGCCATGTACACGGACATGAGCCCCTCGATTGCGCGATTTTCGCGAGTGATATATATATATATATACATTATCTCTATATAAATACATATACTATAGGGAAAATGGGCCACCCACCAGGGTCTAATTACTTCCCCACGGTGCTTGCCTGAAAGGAGAATGGAGGAGTATGGAGTCAAGTGGCTCAAAATGAAACAGGAGGGGCAGACCGCAGGGTTTGGTTTCTATGTTTCCACTTACCAGGGCAAGCCATTTCGGAATTCCGGATTTTTGAGCCACAGCCATATGGAAAAGAATGGGTGTCCGTCGACTCGCCAGTTGGGATTTGGGTGGGGATGGTCAGGAAGTCTTCGACCAGGGTTGGGAAGTCACCGTGGCAACCACCTGAGTTTTTTGACACAAAGTAAGCAGCTGGCAGTTTTCTGGGCAAAGCACCTTGGAGGTTTGATCGAAGTGTTTTCATGGAACCTTTCGGGGCAGCAAGCGGAGGAACGGGGCGATGGGGTTTGGTTCCGCTTGCGCCGGGTGATGGAAGCGGTGTGGACCATTTTGCTCGGAGAATTTGGGTGCGTCTTGTTTTGAGGGGTTGTCAAGGGAAACCAAAAGAAAACCAATCATGTTTTTGGGGTCCCTAAAGAAAGACAAGCCATTTCTCTGCTTACATGCCAATGTGGGTTCTTTGTTTCGGGTACCTCATCGCTAAGTTAGGGAAGCTAAAGGACAACGTCCCCGATTTTGAACACGTGGTTTCCCTTTGGTTCCCCACCTCCCCCAAAGAAAAAGGGAGAACACAAACACGCACACACACACAAAGCAGGGGTGTCCCGAAAAAACAACAACAAGCACAAACCAAAACACACAAAACGTGGGGTTTCCCTGGACATAAGAAGAGCACAGACACACCCCACGCCAGGTACCTCCTCCTCCAAAAGCAAAATCGTCGACACCTCGATCCCTCCGTTTTTTTTTTTTAGAAACAAAACAATAAAATAACATAGAAAAGACAAACACATAAATAATATATTTTTTGGGTTTCGATGGCGATTCATAGGCCTGGTGCAGAACCCCCAGCACACCATGCCGGTGGACCGGGGCTTGGCGCTGCACAAGATGATCCGCCTGCTGGTGCTGGGCCTGGGAGGCGCGGCCCGCGGAAAAATTGGGGGGGGGGGGGGATGGGGAGGAGGGGAGCTGTGCAGTCTTGGAGGGGACTTGGACCCATGATTTTTTGAGAAGGATTGGTTTTGGGTGGTTTCTCTTGGAAGCAGTTGGAGGGGAATTCAATCAGCTGGAGGTCTTTGGATGTTTAAGGAACCTGTTTCTTCTGCGGATTGTAGTGATGGTTGCTCTTTTTATTGGGTTTCAAGGGCCAAACAGCTAGGTTTCTGGGTCCAAGTGCCATCTCTCGAAAAAGATGCAAAACGAAGACGCACCATTGGGAGTTCTCCCTCCAACCATGGAAGCTGACAGGGGTTTGAAAGACTACTTTCCTTTTCGGGAATGTTCCTGTCCACTGTCAGCAACACCTAGTAGAGGCAATCGCCTGTCTAAAAGCTATTGTGAGCGTACGAGGGGTTGGTTTCATTTTCGGCCTCAAATTTCGGGGGTGCACACCTTCGTCAACGTGGGAGGGAGACTTTCCGTTTTGCACGTCTGGCCGCCTCCCGGGAGCGCTCAAAGTTCTTCACCAGGAGCCAATTCTCTTTGTTTCGCCAGACGGCGCCCCGAAGCCTGAACCCCCGAGGTATTTCGCGCACGAAGACGTGGCCCGAAACTGGGTTCCTTTGGTCAGGTCCAATGGACACCCGCCAGTGAATTGATCAACTTTTCTCCAGAAATCCAGTCTGTTGGTTCAGGGGCCAAATTTCAAGAATCCCCCTGTCTTTCGAGCAGCTCTTCGAGTGTCAACTGCGCTAGGTGTGGTGCAGGGGCGAAGGGGAGGTTTGAGCATGATCCTGGTCCTCAGGGAGCCTGGGTTGTCTTGAACCCCCCACTGCATGATGAACTGAATTAGTCTGCAGAGCTAGAGGTATGGGAGCTTGTCTGTCAACAGGTCACCTTGCGACTTGCCAAGCGCCATGCGGTCAACCTGACGTCTCAACAGTGAAAAGTCACGCCCCGTGTCAGGGCTCCCCATACCTTAAAGGGTGGTTTCACGTGGTTTCGAACGTCAGCTTTTGGTTGCCAAACTCAGGTGAGTTTCCTTTGGGTGGGGTGATGTTTAAGGGTAAACTAGGGAACCCTGTTTGTCGCGGCTGTTCATAGTGGCCTGTTCGGGAAATCTGCTTTTCTTTACCCAGCCAAAGACAAGAGAATGCTGACCAGGCGCCCCAGCTTTTCGCAAGACACTCTCCTATTGCAACTACTCACCAACAGTGAGACAAAGTGAGACAAAGAGTCTCACCTCTTGGGTCGAGCATCTGAACATCTCAGCATCGACAACTCAGTTCGTCACCATGTCGCCATGCCTCGCGAGATAGCTTGCTGGTGCGATAAGTAGGGAATGTGGGAATGAACCGGAAGGGGATTCCCGAATAAATAAAAACCACCAGCTATAGGGACGGTTCATTTTGGGTCATTCCATTTCTCAGGGCCCCTGCCTATCAAAGCAAGCAAAGTAAGGAACCTCAACTAATCTCCTGCGCAGCTTGTCTAATCTCATGAATGCCCAGAGTTGTGCCATCATCCCCTTCAGCGACCACTTTTTTGGCTAGTCGCCAGCTGCGCCCTTGCTGAGCTCCGCTGCGCTTTTCGAAAAGTCGCAGGGGAGGGGTACCTGAACTTCATCGGCAACGAGTTTGGGCACCCGGAGTGGGTGGACTTCCCGAGAGCCGACAACGGCTGGAGCCATCACCACTGCAGGCGCGGTTTTCTCCGAACTGGGTCCGCTGGGTGGGTGGGCAGGAAGTCGGTTTAAGGGAAAAACCTCCGGGGGAACACCCGTTGTTTTGGGGGTCCCCTATGATGTTGAGGCTTCAAACACGACATGAATGTGTCATTTTGGGCGGTACCCCTTTTTGAAAGGGAAACTAAAAGGAACATCGCCATTTTTGGGGCTCCCCTAAAAAGACACACCCACATGCGAACCTAGGATTAACAACTCCCCGGTTGATTGAGCGGGGGTGTCCTATTGAAGAGGACTTCACTTTTTGGGGGAAGCACGCTCTTATTTTTCTCCGCCAGGCTGGCCAATCTGGGGTCACCGTATGTCCCCAAAGGGATGGTTTAAACATCTTGAAATTTCCAGATGGTTCATTTGAGGGGGGAGGGGCATGCAGCCCATCAGGCGTGGCTCGTCTTTTTGGAGGTTGTACCCCTTTTGGGCGGTTTGAAAAGAGGCAATTCAAGGGAACTGTTGCCATTTTGGGGAGCCTATTCCTAAACAAAGATATACTCCCATGAGTGTTTTCTCAATTTGGTTTCCCTGTGCCCCGAAAAGAAGCAATCACTCACAAGGAGTTGTCAAAGAGATTGTCCGATTTCCTTTTGGATCCTGCTGCAACTCTCTCTTTTGCCTTTTCAAGGGGGATACCAATCAGGGGCTCCGAATTTTGACAGAAACGCGCACCCAGACTTTGGCTGCAGATCTGGTGACTGCTTTCTTAGCTCAAAATGAGGTATCTCTCCATAGAACCCCTTCTTCACCATGGCATCTCAGGCGTCGTTTCGACCTGGCGGAGGATGAGCTGCTGAGGCAGAGCGGGTTTTTCTGACACATCTCTCTCCGTCTTTCCTTTCTTCTTTCTTTTTCTCGGCGCCTGGAAAATCGCCGAGCCGCAAAGATGGGTGAGACGGCCACACAAAAGTTTTTTGGGGCGAATGAAAGGGAAACGAGAAGAGTGCCGTTTTGGGGCTTCCGGAGTATTTTGAGACAAGCCCCACATCCGTGTCTCTTGCCCATTCCCAACCAAAAATAACCAGGGTGCCTTCCATTTCCATTCTTTTTAGGGATTTGTTTTTCTAGAAAGCCTCCGGAAACCCATGGAAAACGGCCGAAGTTTAGGACGATGGTTGAAAAGAATGGGGAATCAACCCCTAGAATTTTGAGACGCCCACATCCGTGTCTCTTACCCATTCCCAGCCGAATTTCGCGACTGGACATGGTGGCAGCTTAAGCTGAGACTAGATATCTGGGTCTGTTTTTTGGGGAGCATGATTTTTGGAGTTGCCTCAAAGAAGAAACACCGACGAAAGCCATTGCTCTGCTTAAAGACAAGTCTATGTTTCGAGTTGGGACCCGGTTCTGGTATTCAGGGAACAGGCGAGGCTTAGTCACGTCCCGACGCCGGAACCAAAGGCATATTTTGACCGCTCACGTACAGTTGGGTGAAAGTAGATGCTTTTGTTTTTTTTTAGTTGGGGGGGGGCCTTTTGGTTGGTTTTAAAGTCATCCTCTTTCCCACATCTACCGGGCATCGTGGCATCTACTTTTTCCTGGCATAGAGCCCAGCACGCAGCTCACTGGTTTAGCCCGCTTTTTCAACCACGAACAAGAGACCCACTGCTGCCTCAGCAACCTGGGGAACCAAAGGCATTGGGCGTGTCTTTGTTTAGGGGACCCACCCCTCCCAAATGGTCGTTTTCCTTTTGGCAGTTCTTTAAAAGTAACCAAAAAGGTGGTCCCCATTCTGACCCTGGCTCACATCAGCCACGATCAAAACCCGGAAAATGAAGGTTAGTTAGGGGGGATCCCAGCCATACGTGGGTGCCTTCGCCGCTTTTCTGTTGACTCTTTACATGGTTCTAGGTAGATCTAACGTCCAAAGCATCAACCACCAATTGAGGGTAAGGTGATCCATTCTTCAGCGCTTTTGATGATGACTCACATTTTGTAGACGCCTGACTCGCAGCCGGGGAGGTACAAGTTCTTCCAGAATTTCGATGAGCTGATGAACGCCCTGGAGAATCGTTTCAAATGGCTCGGCTCCGCTCACCAGTGCCCTCCGTTTTTCTTCTTCTTCTTCTTTTTTTTGGGCCCGGAAGGGGGGGGGACTTATCTCTCTGCTTCATGTGTTTTCAAAATGCAACTAAACACTGGTGTTTGAGGAGGTAGACCAAAGTGAATCTTTCGTTCCCTTCTTGGGAAAGCGAAAGGCTCGCCTGTTTCAGATTGCCTCGTGCCTCGTTTAAGCAAAACACACTCCCTGAAGGTACGTGACCCTGAAGCACACCGACGACAAGGTCATCGTCTTCGAAAGGGGGGACATGCTCTTTGTGTTCAACTTCCACCCCAACAACAGCCACTTGGCCGATACACCGGAGCGCAAGTAGATGGCACAATTCCCTTTATGTGCATCGAAATCAAAGAATTGTGGCATCTACTTTCACCCACCTGTCAGGGCGTGGTGAAGCGCCGAAGTCATTGAACGTTTTGCGAGCTCAGCTCAGCTAAATGGGTGATATGTGAAGACTAGAGACACTTTTGCTACACCTTGCTACCAAGGATTGGGTGTGTCTTGCTGGAGGGTAATGACCAAAGACAGCCAAAGGGAGAGCCAACATTTTGAGGGTCCGCTAAAAAAGAGACTCTCAATTGGTTCGCAGCTGAAGCTCTACATTGATGTATGAGACTCGAGACCCAGAAACTGGCCAGCGAAGGTCCCTGAGTTTGGCACGAACCTTCCAGGAGCTTAGGGGTCTTAGGAGTGTCTACAATCCGCATTACTTTGACAGTTTCTGGGGGTTATCGAAACTGGTTGATTGTTTCCCTCTACCTACCACTTCGGGGCTGACTTGATGATGAGAAAACAATGGGTCCAGCAGAAATCCAATCATAGAAACTGCGGGAGAATGTGTGAAATGGAGCATGGTAACTGCGGACAGTGGGATCACTTGGACCGTGTGGAAGCGCCGGCAGAAGTCATCAGAGCAGCCCAATGGACACCCAGATCGTTGTTTCAAGTTCGATCAGGTCGCAGGTCAAGTTGAAAGGTGTCACTCCGTCCGCACTTGGGTCTTAACAACAGACGACCCCCAAAGTTGTGGGCTTTCTCTCGAGCTTTCCTTCAAAACTACCCCAAAAAAGGTGCCCACGAAAAGAAGACACCCGTTTCCAGGGAGCTTTCCTTCAAAACTACCCCAAAAAAGGTGCCAACGAAAAGAAGACACCCGTTTCCAGGGAGCTTTCCTTCAAAACTACCCCAAAAAAGGTGCCCACGAAAAGAAGACACCCGTTTCCAGGGATTCTTTATTTTAGGATGTTTGGTCTTGGGCCTTTGCTTGAATCCAGTCAAGAGACACATTCTGAGCAAACGGTGGCAAGCATGCTTGATAACTCTCGTGGCCAGCTTTGTTGAAAAAACGACTTGACCTTTTGCTCAGTTGACATTCCGAAAATATTGGGTGGGTTTCCTTTTGGTTTCCCTTTCAAACCCCAAAAAAGGGGGTGCCCTCAAAAAACGACACACCCATATGTGTCCCCAAAGCAGATGCCTCCAATTGGTGGCATGTTAGGTTCCGCTCCGCCTTTTATTTCCACTCCAAAACGTCCGGGTTGGCAGTCTGGCGGCCGGCTCGTTTCCTTGCCGTTTCAAATCCAATCCCAACAAACCAAACCCCTGCCACACACCCTCCCAGCAATTAACATGGCACTTGACAGGGGCCCCCTTCAGGAGGAAATTGATCTTCCAGGTACCTCAGGTACCTCAGGTACCTCCCCACCAGAGCCATGTTAGTGGGAGGAAGGTTGCGAATCAAAAACCACCCAATCCAATCCTTGGAGGCTTCGAGGGCTATCAGCTGGGGAGCATGTGGAACGAGCCCATGCGCACTGTACTGGACACTGACGAGGCGATCCGATCGTAAGCCGAAACCTTTCAAGAACCTCCAAGGAACCCCCAAACCCCGAGAAGCCGCAAGGCAATTCGTGTTATTGTGTTGTTTTCCCCCCAACAGCTGAAAGCTAAGGGGTCTCCAGATAAGGTTTTGGGGTGGTTCGGGGGAGCTTATTGTGCTGTTTAGCCACTTCTGGCTCTTGGTGGATGCTTTCGAAGAATGTACTTGGGGCTGTGGGGTATGGTTGTTTCGCCAGGGCAAGTGGGGACTTGCTGGTTGCAGGGGTTCTGCCGGGCAGTTAACGAAATACAACTTTTCTCGGATTGGCACGAAAAACAACGAAACTCGTTTCGAACACGTACTGAAGTTTGCGCGCTGCTGTGAGAGTCCTGGGCACATGGTTCCGGTATTGATTTCTTTGGCGCCTTGGTTTCTCATCCCAAACATGAAGGGAATGATGTGGATTTGCTTCCAAAATTAATGGGCCCCCCAAAATGGTCGGTTTCCTGTTGGTTTCCTCAGTCCCCCAAAAGGGGGGCCCCCAACAAAATACATTTTCACTCGAGAGTCAGAGAAAAGGCCGCCATGAGACTGTCACTTCGGGGGTCTTTTGGTGCCCACGCTTTGGGCATGACACGGTTTTTCCACAAACTCTGTCTCATGTGTCATGCCCAAAACATGCTCATGTGTCATGTGTCAGCCCGTCTGTCTCATGGGCACACGCCGTTTCCGGCTCAGCTCTCTGCTTGAGAGCCCCTCGAATTGAGCCTCGAATCGGATGTCCACCAGGGCCGCTTCGGGGGACACTGCCGGCTGGAGTACGGCCACGCCAACCCGTTCCCACCTTTGTGCGGGAGCCAAGTAAAAGCGGTCCCTTTCTTCAGGAATCGGGAACCCCCCGACATGGTGCAACGCTTTTCCTTTCGGTTTTCCTTTGAAGCCACAAAAGGGTAGCCTCAAAAAAGGCACACTCAAGTTTGTTCGGTGAACTGGAGGTGACGGGTGGGGGGTTGCGGGGTGGGGCGTGGTCGAAAGGGGGGCCAGCTTCTTCGACCCCTTGAGCCAAGAGTGCCAAAAGCTGAAATGGAGGTCAAGAAACAGGTTTGTGGTGGAAAAGCGAGCGGCCCCCCTGAAAAGACCCTTGACACACATCACCCACCAAAGCTAAACGTTTGCCCTTTTTGCAGCAAAGTAAGCGGACAAGGGTCCTTTGTAAGAGGATACTCATGGTCACTTGACCGAGCTGGCCAAACTGGCAAGAATGGCGACGCTGGCAACACAAACCGGTAAACACACGATGCAAGAAGACAGGACCCTGCGTAGGTGGTTCCCCAGAGTGCAGGATCCCTCCAAATTGTTTTTTCCTTCTGGGTTCCCTTTAAAACCACCAACAAGTGGGTACTAACTCTGAAACAGAAGAGCCATATATGCATATGGGTGTGAATTTGGGTCTGCTGGCGGGACACCGGATAGGGATTCTAGACCACTCTGACTCTTGAATGGAGCACACCTTGCGAGTTTTGACCATTGCATGTCGTGTGAGCCGACTGGAGTGCTCAGAGCTTTGTTGGAATGTCAACTAAATTGGCGAAGGACCACCACCTTTGGATTGTGCTAGCAAAACTAGGACGCCTACCGTTTAAATGGGGTCCACTTTTTTTAGCACCCGGCCAGATAGACTTTTCCTTTTGAATCAATTGAATGAAACAGAAGAGCAGCGTGTGAACCGCAGGGTATCATAGATGATTTTTTTGCTTGCATTCCCTCCCTTCCCATTTGCTGTGACATGTGGCATTGCGACTGCCCCGCTGAGCATGAGTGTGAAAAACAAACCTAGGAACTAGGAGGGTCGAGAGGCTCTTTTTTAATGCATGACTGACCCCGATCCTTGAGCAAGGTTGCGGTTGCGGACCTTGAGACTTCCAGTTGATTGTCCTTGAGACTTCCGGTTTTTTGTGCCTCCGGACTTGGGCCAAGACTCAAGCTGAGCTCGTTACTCCCCCCGGCCATGGCGGGCGGACGCGGGACACGAACCATGTCCTGTGCGGAAGCACCGCGCAGGCCAGTTGTTACAGTTACAGTGAGGGCGCTGTGGTTGTCATGTCCATTCACCAGGGCAACCCATTTTGGTACCAAAATGGGTACCTATTTTTGACCACGCCCCTATGTGGGTGTGTTGTTTTTCAGGCTACGCATTTCCCGCTTTCAAGGGAAGCCAAAAGGGAACCACCATTCTTAGGCTCCCCCCTGTTTATCCATGTAGGCCAGTTGAAGAATCAGCCACATAGCTGATTTAGAAACGGATCCCCTGATAAAGCAGGAGCTTGTTTGGTGTATCTTGTGAACCAAATCAAACTGATTAGGCATCCTAAAATAGGACAAAGGGGAACCACCTACTTTTGTGGTTCCCTCATTTAGAGACAACCCTTTTCCTTCTGGGTTGAGCAAAATCACTCCGCAAGATCCTTCTGCCATATGGTGGTGGTGTCCCACTACGGATGACGGATTCGGATGAGGGATCCCCGCATTTTGAGCAAAACATGATGATATCAGAAGTGGGGGGACCCTAAAAAATATAGGGGTTGATTCAACCATCCATCTTTTCAAAAACCAGCCCTTTCCCTGGGTGTTTGATGGTTTCCTGACAAGAAAGATTGCTGGAAAGAGTGCGAAAGCTTCCAATAGGAAAATTGTGGTTTTCCTTTCGGTTTCCACGAACCTCGAAGAGGGGTTCCCAGAAACTCGTTTCAGGTGCTACAGGAGCGGGGCTTCAGTGCCATTCGCTTCTCCGCGCTGGGCCGGAGTTGGTGGGCGGCCTGCGGACAGCTGTGACGGGAAGGCTGAAGCGATCGATTTCCAGATCTGGACAGAGGCCCCGGAAAGGGGAGAACATGCACCGGTGCTTTGTTGAAGATAGCAAAGACGAATACGGGTGGGGAGTTTTTGATATGTTGACACAAACCCAAATGAAATGGAATGGGGGCTGGACGCTTAGGATCTATCTTGCAACAAAACCGGCCCGTGTTTTGGACATAGGCCTGTTGGAGATGGCGCAGAACCAGGAGAACGACTGGGATGTGCAGGCCAGCCGCCTCTTCGCTGTTCAACGGCAAATCACATGGCAAACATGTTGGCCGAAATCATTGCGGGCCTCAATTTTTCGACTCGAGTACTTGCAAGCACTCACATGGCGCTCGCAGAAGGCGCGCTCGGCGAGGTCTGACGAGCCGTCGTGCGACCAGACGTGCTCGGCAGACCACTGCGAAAGCTGCCAGGAGCGCGCCCGCGGGTGCTGACAGAGGAGCAGCCGCTGGTGCGCCAGGTACTGCCAGCTATGAGGATGTGGAATTCGAGTTCTCGGGCGACATCAGCGCGCTGCGGCAGAGCGCTGAGTTGCTTTGGTCTCGAGGAGAGCCGACTCCTGGCCGAGGACAAACATCTATGTCGATGGTCAGTCCCAGCACTTGTAGGGTTATGATCACCCAGCCTCGCTCATCCTCCACGCCTGCCAGTGCCGTGGTGTTTGTCGGGCCCAAGCCCCTCTCGTGTGCGCAGACCCTTGTTGAACTCACAGTCCAGCTTGGTTGGGATTGGATTGGGGCTGGGTGGCGAAGGCGGTCCGCGCATCTCTCGAGCCGGGTGTCGGTGGAGGGAGTCGTGTTCACCACGCACGCCGATGCCACGGCGCGGCAGTTGACGAGTTCAGATGCCACCTTCGCGCGGAGAACTTGGCTCCCGGTACAGCACCTTCAGAGCGCCGCCTGGAGCCGTTCGTCAGCTACATGAGCCAGAAGTGCGGGACTACATCGCCAAGTGCGGGAATGGGCGAGGGAACTGCTCAACGCCGCCGGCAGGAGCTGGAGCTCCTTCTGCAGGAGAAGGTGCGGTGCCTTGCGGCGAGCACCTGGAGCTGCAACTGGCTGACAGCTACTTCGGACAACCCAGCGCCAAGGGGGGGGGACCCCTTCAGGCTGCGCGGCAACTGGTATCTGCGGTGGTCGAACCTGCTGCCAAAGCCTAGCCAGCTGCTGGAGCGGCGCATGCGTTGGAAGCCCTGGAGGCCGCGGTGCGGGAGGTGCCTTCTCATGTGGAGCTGCATGAGCTGAGCGACCTACGAGAGCTCGCTGAAGATCTTTCTATCATCGAACGGTGTGCAAAAAAGATGGAAAGGGGACAGGGGCTGACCCTTATGGTGGACACTCAGGGTCTAGTTTGCAGCTACTTTTCTTTTTTTGTATTTATTGGTTTAGAACTTGAGTCTTCAAAATAGTCTTTAAGTGTGCGTGGCGCCTGGAATGTTCCAAGTTTGCCGTCTATGGGGAAGACACAAGAAATGGACATGTGGGGGACCCGGTCTAAAGCGTAGCGGGCCATGGTTTTGACATTCCGTTGTTTGGCAAGGCCATTCTTTTGAAGTTGAGCTTCGCATGGTTTTAGGGCTGGAATGGAGACCTGTCTGTGATACGGAATCGTTACCTCCTCAAAAAAGTCAGTGGGGGCCGTTCTGGCGCCAAGTGGTATCGTGGCATCACTGAAGTGGAAAGGCAATGCCCACAACTTTGTTCTAAGATGGAGTCCACTACCCCCCCAAACCACTACCCCCATGGTTTAATGGGATATACAGCCACTATAGCGGCTACGACTTTTAGTAAGGGATGAGGTTAGATTTGCTTTTGTGCCGGGGGGAAGGGGGGGATTGCGACACTTTCCAACCTGAAGTCTGATTCATACACCCCACCAGTGAGCTAATCTACCAAGTACCTAAGCTGGCGACAGCATTTGGGGGCCAGGAATATTGATCAACCCTCACGTGTCATCGATCGAGTTCGTGGGGGAGGTGCAAGTTCTGGCGTCAACATTCAGACGTATCCTGAGAATCCTGAGAGATGCCTCGAGATTTCCCACGTCAGGGGACCCGTGAAGATGTGTTCTAAGAAGCAACTTGGTTGCGATCGCTTGCACAAAAGGACGGTGTTCGCTTGCCCCTTGAACGGGTCACCCCATGTGAGGGGTCAAAAGTTGATCAATTTATTAGTGGGTTCCATCGAACCGATCGCCACTTTTAAAGGGAAATGGCTCGGAATCCCGGCCTTGGCCCGAATCTGGGATCCACCGAATATTTATTACCTGCTGACTTCTGACTCTCTGCCAGCTTTAGTATGTACCCCCTGTTTTTCAAATATACCACACATCCCATCGAGGTGAGTCACCTGACCCATTTCTCATCTGAGGCACGGACATCACAATCGCAACCACTCGGTGCGCTAGCCCAGAGGCTTCGTCCGCCTGGCCTCGCTCGGGAGTCCGGAGTTTTTTTTGAGTTGGTGCCCCCTTTTTGGTGGTTTGAACTAGGGAAACCAAAAGGAACCTAGCCAACCCAAATAGATCGGTTCGTCGCTAAGGCAGACACCACCCCTCATTCGTACGTTTTTCCGGACAAATCCGAAGTTAAGATTAGCGATTTGCAGTACAATCCAGTATCTTCATGCCAGATGGTCGTGGTTTCCCTTGTGCTGTCCCACCACGGACTACGGAATAGGATGATCAGGAGTTAATTATCACGATGACATTTATGGCCCAGAGGTACATCAAGTTGCAAGACCAGATAACATGTCCGCATGTTACCATTTCGCTCAAGGAAAAGAGCGCGTTGCACGCGCTGCCCACAAGTTAAGGGAGAGGTCGCAGTCACGGCGGGGTTCGTTCCTTTTAAGGTCCCGGGTTCCCCCGTTGTTGAGAAACCTGTGTTTCCCTCTCCTTTGAGTGGTTATCAGCCGTAACGCTTTTCGGGTAAACAAACCCTTCTGTGACTGCGACCGTTCGGTCGCACATGGAAGCCGGCCCTCACCGCGGTGTGCGTGGTGGCAAGGGGCCGCGTGCTCGGCTATTTAACACCCTGCAACAGATCATCGTTGACGAGTATAAGAAGCAGGACAGGCGCTTCCGGTGGATCAAGTTTCCAGAGGCCTCAAAGCAACAGATTGAGGCTCTCTTTGACTGGCGCGAGACACTGGATAATCGCTACCTTTGGTTCTTCGACCCTGAGGCTTGGGACGTCATCCAGGCCGCGGACAACGCTTATCAGCAGCGTCTGCAATCGGTTGAAACCGCGGGTGCGGTAGGGCCACGGGGCGATCAGGCACAGGATCGAGCTGCAGCCTCTGGCGCGGCGGGAGTGACAAGCAGAGTCGAGGATTGGTTGCGACCCCCTTCGCCTCCGGCCACTCCATCCTGGCCCCAAGATCATCCTCGCGATCCGCTTCCTCGTCATCGGCCAACTGCAGAGGAAAGACAAGTGTTGCGAGGTGCCGCCAAGAGTGCACTTTGTGGGGTATACGCTAAAGCCGCGGAAACGCGGCAGGACAGCAGCCGGGAGCGATCGCCTCTTCAAAGATCGAGGCCTCCTTCGTCTCCGAGGCAAGGACCGACTGCCGTCCCTGTGGAACCTCGGGCACAACGTGTTGAACCCGCGCTTGCGCGGGAGGGCAGACCATCCAGGACTTCACTTGCTACACGCCCCATTGTATTGGCTCCACAGAACAGTATATACCCTGTGACACGATTTGACGAGCACGGCGCTTGGGTACTCGTTCGCGAGCCTTCACAGCCACGTGAGGCGACATCTCACCGCCGGGCAAAACATCCCCCAAGAAGATCATCCACAAGCTCGCGATCACGATCTCCAGATCGACGCCCAGGACCAGCGGAGCAATATCGCGGCCTCGACGCCTATAGCTCCGAGGAGGAGCCTACGCAGGACGCGGAAGCCCTTACAACTGGCAGGGCGGCTTACGTGCCTCGGCGCGTATACGAGGCACCGACACACACTGAGCCTCTTGCTTTGCATGGCAGGAGGATTGGAACAACAGAGCAGCCACCGTCAAAGGCCGCGCCAAAGATCATTTTTGGCAGCAAGCCTCCATTGCGCAAAAGCAGTTATTCCTACAAAATCACCTCCTCGAGCAAGGTCTCCTACTCGGACTCAGAGTGCATTCGGGTACAAAGCGCCTCCGCGAGGTCTGAACAAGGCCAAACCCAGAAGCAAGTCCGGTTCAAACCCACCACAAGGGTACATCGTCAAGCCGCCGCCGCCCCAGGACGTGAAAGCAGCTGCTTCAAGCGCTGCGACTTCACAGGCCGGCCTACGCTTTCGATCGCCACCGAGAAGGCCGCCGCCAGCTCCACCACCGCCACCTGCACGGCCTGTGCCACCCAAGGAGTTGACAATCGCTCCAGACCAACAAGGCCCCTATCTCAACCCAGAGATCATCCAGCACCTTGTGAAGTTCACTCAAGATTACGCTCCGATCAACTTGATAGTATTGTCATTTGTCGGTCGAGCAGCCAGTGAACAGCGACGCCGAGAGTTTCAGGTTGCATTGGAACACGCAAAGGCGACGGCAGGGCTCCAGTTCTCTCAGATCAAGATCGTCCACGAGAAGCTGGGCCGAGGTGGAAAAGCAGACGCACTCAAAGGTTTAGGCGTCCACGTTCTTGTGGACGACCAATCTGCCATAGTGCGTGAAGCACAGAAAACCGGCTGTGCTGCTTTTCGCTATTTCCCCCATTTTGGACCGAGCGGATTCGCCAACGCGCTTGAAAATATTGGCGAATTCATTCAGTTCCGGAATCGATTTTTCATTCCGGCGGCGAACGGCCTACACCCTTCGCAGTACCTCGAAGAGCTCCATCGTTCTGCATCCCAACTGCCCGGCAGTCGGGTCCTTCGATCGCCTTTCTTTGCAAGCCGTTAAAACCGTCGCTTAGCGCGGTACAGCATTTTTGCAGCTACAGGCACTCGATTTGCAGACTTTTCATTAGCAGCTTGGCGATATTCCTTGATAAAGCACCAGAGTGCGGGATTGCGAACAAATCAATATACAAGTACAAGTACAAGCACAGAATTCATCAGGTGCATAGCAGCAGGGCGACTTTTCTTGAGTGGTACACTTGAGCGCTTCGCAACTTCCCACGTAGCACCTTTTGACACGCTGCTCAAAGCGCGTGGAGCTGGCTTCGTGTGAGTGCAAAATTGCATTGCTGTGTCATGACTTCAACCGGCTTATCCCCGCCCTCAGAACCCCGTTCAAGGTCAACCCCAAACAGGGATTCGGAAGGGGAAGACCCTGATTTGGCCATGGTTGCTGCAGCAATGTCCACAATGCGCACATCCACACCTCAACGAGCAGCCCAAACACGACCATCATCACCTCCAAGCGGTCAGATCGTGTCAGAACCTGCATCATCCGAAGCTTCCCCAGCCATTCAGTTTCCTTCTCAGGGCTCACAAATACCCGACCCGATGACTAACGTACCGGCTGCGACCTTTATTGCTGGAGCTGCGGTGCAGCAAGCTCATCGAGCATCCCACCTCGCTGCTCAGGCAGCCAATCACGCCTTGCACCAACAGCAAGCCGCCGACCAGGCGAGACAAGAGGCTGGATGGATCAGGGAACGGGCTGTGAGGGAAGTATCAGATGTTAGGGTTCAAGCGGCTCAGCTAGCTTCGCAAGCCCAGCAGGCTGTACAAACAGCACAACAGAGTGAGGCTCAGGCTAGACAACTAATCGAGCAGACTCGACAGGAAGCCATAGGCCATGTCGAGAACGCACGGCAGGTTGTTAATGCTACTCAACAGGACGCTCAGCAGGAGGTTCAACGCATCGTTCAAGAGGCTCAACAGGCAATCTCGCAAAGGGAGCAAACAATTGCCAGTCAAGAGCATACCATTCGTGGATTGTCCCAGGAAAATTCTGTGATGCATCAACGACTTGGTGATCTCGAACGTGTTGTTGCACACCTCACCCAACAAGCTCGTGCGACCCCTGTTCCGATTCAAGAGTCCCCGCCAAAAGCCGCATCAACAGCCGAAACAGCTACGGAATCAAGCGCGGCTAAAGCCTCAAGTCAGGGCACAGTTCCCCCAGGAACCCATCAGCCGGTTGGAGCACCTCAGGTTTCAGATTCACAAGATGCCTCCGGTGTTGCCGCGTCGTTGCAAGGGAATGCTTTTTCAAGTGCTATCCCCGACCCTCCGTGTGGTTCTGTTCAAAGTTCAGGACTTGGTCACGGTGCCCCAGCTGATTCAAGGGACCCTGGTGGGGTTGCTACAAGTCAACATCCCGCAGGCCATTCGGCAGTGCAAGGGCAGCGTCCTCTGTTGGAGACGCGGCCCCCGGCGCATCGAGGGCTAGCGGTTTGGATAGAGACGGTACAAGGGATCAAGCCGATGTGAGAGTGCAAGTGACGGCTCTAGCGGAAACCCAATTGTTGCTCCGCCACCTCCGCCTCCGGCCGCACCACCTCCATGCCTCCCATGCCCCTTGCAGGGGCGCCGCCTCCGCCAAAGGCTGGCGACGGCATTCGTGTTCCGCCAGTACCAATCACAATGTTGGGAGGATTGTACTCGTCATCCCCACAAGCGCCATCGGCCGCAAGCTCCGACTCATCATCAGACTCCGACGGAGATGACGATACTCCACAATGTCGAGTTTGCGGCGGCAGCCATGACGACACGGAATGCCCATACCTCACCATGAATGGTGGTGGGGGCGGCGGGGGAGGCTCTGGCCAGTTCCCCAATGCAGACCCGTCTCAAGCTGCCGATCCCAGTGTAGGCATGACCGCCGTAGATCACGCCGCATATGAGGAGTCCGTTGTCCGTGTCAAGGTTTTTAAGGATCTTGTACTACTAGAGGTTTTGTCAGCCAAGTTTTGGTGGCCATCGGTCGACCCCAGAAGACCCCCGGAGACGAAGTATACCAGTCAGCCCAAGCATGCATGTCCTCCTCTGAGCAGGAACTCATCGCGGACAAGCGCTTCCCACGTCTAGATCGTGAAGTAGCCGCAAAGCTCCTTAAAACCTGCCGCAAAGGTAAGTTCGGGCTCTTGTTTCAGAACATGGTTGAACAAGAGAGAATCTCGTCAGGTGGGATGCCCGTACGGAGAATCATGTTGCGTGCCATCTTCAAGCACTTCCAGTTGGAATGAGGTAGGATCGGAGGCAAGGGAAGCCCCTATCGGCAGTCATCGTAGGAAGCCGGAATGGTTGTGGTCCAAGGTTGATCTAGCTTTGGAACTCCATCAGGACAAGCGGAACAGGGATGAGTTTGACAAAAGTCTTCAAATCAAGCCAGCCGCCATGTCCCAGGGGAATAATTCTAATGCCACGCCTGCCGCAAGCAGCGAAGACAAGCCCAAGAAAAATAAGAAGAGTAAGAAGGATAAATCTGCTGCAGACTCCGGCAGCCCTGCGCCGA